CACCAAAATAGACACACAGATTAATGGAACAGAATAGAAATAAACCTACAACTATATGATCAAATTTGATTTTTTTTGGATTTTTTAAAATTTCTTCTTTGACCCATTCATTTTTTGAGTCTGTAGTTTAATTTCCACATCTTGTGTGTTTTCCTCCATTATGATCAGAAAAGATATCTTGTGTGATTTCAGTCTTTTTAAATATTAAGATTTGTTTTGTGGCCTAACATATGGTCTTTCCTAGATAATGTTCTGTGTGCACTTGAGAATAATGTGTATCCTGCTGTTGTTGGGTGGCATGCTTTGTATATGTCAGGTCCAACTAGCCTATAATATTCAAGTTCTTTATTTCCTTATTGGAAATAAGGAAATATTTTGGTTCTATTCATTATTGAAAGTGGGGTATTGAAGTTTCATACTATTATCGTAAAGCTATTTCTCAAATTCTGTCAATGTTACATGTATTTAGGAGCTATTAAATCTGGTGCTGATAAGTTTATAATTGTTAAATCTTCTTGGTGAATTGTTTCTTTTTTTGATTGTATGATGTTTTCTTTTGTTTCTTCTAATGTGTTTGACTTAGTCTATTTTGTCCGATAGTAGCATATCCCAATTCTTTGGTTGCTATTTGCATGAAGTATTTTTTTCTATCCTTTTACTTTCAACCTATGTGTATCCTTAGATTTAAAGTGAGTCTCTTGTAGACAACATATAGTTATATCCTGTTTTTTTATCCATTCTGCCAATTTGCGTCTTTTGATGAGGAGTTTAATCCATTTACATTTAAAGTGATTACTTATAGGGTAGGACTTTTGTCATTTTGTTGCTTGTTTTCTCTGTGTCTTTTAGCTTTGTGCCACATTTCCTCCCTTATTGCCAGCCTTTCTGTTTAGTTGATTTTCTTGTAGTGACACATTTCAGTTCCCTTTTCATATCCGTTTGTGTATATTCTATAGATACTTTCTTTTTGGTTACCATGGGGATTACTCGTGGCATCTTAAAGTTATTATAGTCTTGAAGTGATACCAACTTAACTGCAGGCTCCTATAAAGATTCTGCTGCTCTTCAGCTCTGCCCTTCCTTACTTAGTTAATATCCCAAATTACATCTTTATAATTTTGTTCCCCTTATTATAGATTTATAATTATAAATGTTTTTATGCTTTTGTCTTTTAAATCTTGTACAGGAATAAGAAGGTGAATTACAAACAAAATTATAATGTCAGTTTTTATATTTCTTTATGTATTTTTACCAGAAAACTATATTTTTGTATGGCTTTGAGTTATTTTCTGGTTTCCTTTCATTTTAATTAAAAGACTCCCTTTAGGGAGTCTTGTAGGACAGGTTTAGTGGTAATAAGCTTCTTCAACCTTTATCTTAGAATCCTTTAATTTTTCACTCATTTTTACAGGACAGTTTTGCCAGATAGAGAATTCCCAGTTGACAATCTTGTTTTTAATACTTTAAATATATATCATCCCACTGCCTTCTGGCCTTCAAAGTTTCTGCTGAGAAATCTGCTTGTTACCTTATTGAGGATCTCTTGTATGTGATGAGTTTCTTTTCTGTTGCTGCTTTAATTAGTGCTGTTTTTATTTTTTTTAATTTTAAATTTTTTATTATTTGTTTTGCACCAATGACCATTTATTGTTTCTGTGAAGTAGGCATTGTGCTAGATAATCACGTAGACACTCACAGAACACTCAAAACTGTACGAACTAGGTCTGATTTTAATGAATTACCACCCCCAACCTCACCTCTGCATTTTTACTTTTGGGACAGTCTTGTGCTTATTCTTTTTTTTTTTTTTTTTTTTCAGTTAGCCACTGTATAGTACATCATTAGTTTTTGATGTAGTATTCAATGATTCATCATTACACATAACACCCAGTTCACATCATAACACATGCCCTCCTTAATACCCCCTTCCCCCCATCCCCCTCCCCTCTGAGAACCTCTTTCCTGGGGTCCATAGTCTTTCATGGTTCATCTTCCTCTCTGATTTCTCCCCCTTCAGATTTCCCTCCCTTCCCCTATGGTCCTCCGTGCTATTGCTTATATTCCATATATGAGTGAAACCATATAATAATTGTCTTTCTCTGCTTGACTTCACTTAGCATAATCCCCTCCAGTTCCATCCATGTTGATGTAGAAGGGTATTCATCTTTTTGAGGGCTGAATAATACTCTATTTTATATATAGACAACATCTTAATCCATTCATCTGTTTAAGGGCATCTTGGCTCCTTCCACAGTTTGGCTATTGTGGACATTCTTAAGCAGCATTCTTGCAACTTATGCCTGGAGTCACAGGGAAGTGAAGGATATTCCCTTGTTGGTTTCACGGTGTTAGTTGTAAGACACCTCTTTTCATATATAACCCAGAAATCACACCCCTAACTCAAGCTAGTCTGTTGTTTTTTTTTTTTTAAGATTTTATTTATTTATTTGTCAGAGAGAGAGAGAGAGAGAGAGACAGAAAGAGCACAAGCAGGGGGAGTGGCAGGCAGAGGGAGAAGCAGGCTCCCCGCTGAGCAGGGAGCCCGATGTGGGACTCGATCCCAGGACCCTGGGATCATGACCTGAGCCAAAGGCAGACGCTTAACTGACTGAGCCACCCAGGTGTCCCAAGCTAGTCTGTTTTTACAGAGTTTTGGGGGGTAAAAGCCCGCTAATTTCCACACTCACTGTTCCTGTTTTCCTTATCACACTTCCCTGCATTTCCTAGTTTCCATTAAGACTGAAAGCAATGCACTACAATTGCATGAGCATAGCTTCTCAGAGAGCTTCCCTCTCCACAGAGGAGGCAGCCCTTCATCTCTTCAAGGAGGTCAAGTGCTCATTAGACTTCCTCCCATTTACTGGATGTGCAGACTCTTAAAAACTGGACAACTTTTTTATGATGAGCACTGGGTATTATAAGTAAGTGATGAATCAGTAAATTCTACTCCTGAGACCAATAGTACACTAGATGCTGAGTAGAATTTAAAAAAAAAATTAAAAAACCCACAACACTTAAATCCAACTGGGCAACTTTTGGAAACTTCTCTAAAATTTGAGGTAAATGTTTAAATTAATTAGTGCTGTTTTTAAAATTTCAGTTTCCAGTCATTTATTGCTACTACACAATTTTTGTAAACTGCCTTAATCAGTCTGAATGTTTGTGTTCCTCTACCCCCCCAATTCATATGTTGAAATCCTAACCCCCAAAGGTGATGGTAGTTAGGAGGTTGGGTCTTTGGCAGTGATTAGGTCAGAGTGGAACCCTTATGAGTGGGACTAATTGCCTTATAAAAGAGACCCTACAGAATTCTCTAGCCTCTCTGACATTGAAGACACAGTGAGAAGGCACTGCCTGTGAACCAGAAAGTGGGCTCTCACCAGATACTGAATCTGCTGGTGATTTGATCTTGAACTTCCCAACCTCTAAAACTGTGAGAAATTAATTTCCATTGTTTATAAGCTACCTAGTCTATGTTATTTTGTTATAGCAACTCAAATGGATGAAGACCATTTCCTTATCCTTTTAATATCTTCAGAATCTATGGCAACACCCCTTCTTTAATCCCTGATAGTGTTTATTTGTTTTTCTCTTTCTCTTTTTTCTTTGTCAATCTGGCTAGAGGCTTATCAATTTTATTGATCTTTTAAAAGAATGAGCTTTTGTTCTAACTTTCTCAATTTTTTTCCCAATTTCATTTATTTCTCTTTTTATTGTTTTCTCTTTTGCCAGGAGCTTAATTCAGTCTTCTCTTTTTAGTTTCTTATGGTAGAATTTTAGGTCATTGATTTGAAACTAGATTCCTTTTGAATATAATCATGTAATGCTGTAAATTTCCCTCTAGGCACTGCTTTAGCTACATTTTACAAGTTTTGAAATGTTATGTTTTTGTTTGCATTCAATTAAAATTATGTTCTGCTTTCCCTCATGACTTACTCTTTGATCCATGGGTGTTTAGAAATGTGTTAATTTTTAAATACTAGAGGATTTTCCAGATCTTTCTGTTACTGATTTCTGGTTTAATTCCTTTGTGATTAGAGAACATACTTTGTGTGTGTTAAATTTGTCAGGATTTGTTTTAGAGCCCAGAATATGGTCCATCTTGGTGAACATTATGTGTGCTCTTTAAAAAAGTGTGCCTTTTGCTAATTTGGGATGGAGTATTCTGTAAATGTCAATTAGGTTAAATTGTTTGATTGTGTTTTTCAGGTCTTTTACATCCTTATTAAATTTCAGTCTACTTTTTCTTTTTCTTTTTTTTTTTTAAGATTTTATTTATTTATCTGAGAGAGAGAATGAGATAGAGCATGAGAGTGGGGAGGGTCAGAGGGAGAAGCAGACTCCCTGCCGAGCAGGGAGCCCGATGCAGGACTCGATCCCGGGACTCCAGGATCGTGACCTGAGCTGAAGGCAGTCGCCTAACCAACTGAGCCACCCAGGCGCCCTCAGTCTACTTTTTCTATTGTTCACTGTGAGAGGAATGTTGAATTATCCAACTATAATTATAGATTTGTCTGTTTCTCTTTTCACTTTTTTTCAGTTTTGATTTCTTTCTGTTCTTTTGTGCTTGGCTTATTTCAGCTAGTACAATCCTTTATGTTTTTATTTATCCATTGAGCATGATATCACTTTACTTTCTGCTTCATTGAATTATTGTTTAAAATAAAATGAAAGAGTTAAAACCTAACAAGTACTGTATAAATTTAAGGTGGTATATATAAAAACAGACAGTTATTACCTGAAACTAGTAAACTCATTTGTTGTCTATGTATGAGTGTAAGTGGGTTTATTTATGGTTTAAAACTTACCCCATTTTGCACAGAAATGCTGGGATTGTTCTAAAATACAAAATTAGGGAACATACATAGGAAAGGAAAGAAATATAGAAAAATATATTTTAAGATCACTTGTGAAATGTTTAACTTTATATTTTGTGTGATAAAATGTTTTATACACCTTTTTGACTTGAAAAACTTTATTGCACTTCTTTCTTTTTCTAGGATTCTAATTCTCAGATGGATTTAAGCATTCAGGTAATGGATGATGATATTAATGAAATAATTCAAATAGATGGAACTGGTGATACATCTTCCAATGATGAAATAGGAACTACAAGAGATGTAGAAGAGAATGAATTTCTAGGGATTATTGATGCAGGAGACCTAAAGGTACTTGAAGAAGAAGCTGACAGTATATCAAATGAAGATTCAACTGCCAACAGTAGTGATAATGAAGATCCTCAAATAGACGTTGTAGAAGAGGTGAGGATCACTTTTGAGCTAAAACTTTTTTTTTAAATTTATAACGTGTACTTTAATATACGTCTAATATACTTGGTTCTTTAACATACTTTAGTCAAGAGGAATAGCAATTAAGATTAACCCTGTCTTTAGTCTTTTAAAATGAGACTTATTTGTACCCTTGTATTTAAACTTTTAATCTTAAACTGTAATTCAAGCTAGTATTAAGTATTTGGGAATCGGCTACTGTATTTGTTGGTCTTAACTAGAGATAGTGGGAGGTTTAGAGGCCAGGAGTGGAGGTACAGAAGGCAGGCAGGTTAGAAGCATACAGTATCTGTTCTGATTCTAATAAATGCAGTAAATTTTTGTGGAATGTTGTAAGTAGTACTAACTATCACTTATGGTGGCCTTACAGATGTGCCAGGTATCATACTAAGTCTTACTTGCTTTATGTTATTTAACATTCCCACCGCCCTATGGATCTTATTACTGTCCTCATTTAACAGATGAGAAAACTGAGATATGAAGAGTTTTAGTAAATTGATGGAGGTCAATGTTGTAGTTACTAAATGTCCAACCTGGGATTCAAACTCAAGTTATTTGACTTTTTAAGTAAAATACTCTTCTCTTTCCAAGTTCGTTCATTCGGTCCTTCCTTTCTTTTCTTTTTTTTTTTTAAAGATTTTATTTATTTATTCGAGAGAGAGAGAGCACACACGAGAGAGCACAAACAGGGAGTATAGGGAGAAGCAGATTCCCTGTGAGCAGGAAGCCCCATGTGGGGGTCGATCCCAGGACTCTGAGATCGTGACCTGAAGGCAGAACTTAACCGACCAAGCCACCCAGGCACCCCACCAAGTTCCTTTATTTCTATATGTATCTCTGTCTTTAAAAAATTCAGAGCATCATGAAATTCCTTAATGTGACCATATTTCATCTTTAGGACCCTTTAAATTCTGGAGATGATGTTAGTGAGCAGGATGTGCCAGACCTGTTTGACACGGATAATGTAATCGTCTGCCAGTATGACAAGGTACTGTATTCACCTTTTAAACTGTGGGTTTATTAATTGCATTTATGGTAGAAAAGTATGTAAAATGATGGACAATTACGATGGTGAACTACAGTTCATAGTTAATCTTGAAAAAACTAGTTATATATATTTTGTATCTAACACTGTGTTGTGTGGTCTCAGTGATACAAAAAAGTGATAGTTCTTATCTAAAGGAGGTGACAGTCTTATTAAAACAAGATGTTTCTGTATGTAATAAAAGAATGGCATACAATAAGATGGTAGGTAAATGAGAAGCTAAAATCTGTGACAGGCAAATCAAATGCTAAAATACATGGCATATAAATTAAATGCTAAGATGAGTGGCACGTAAATCAAATGCTAAGATATGTGGCACAGACAGTAAGTCCAAAAAGTAGCTAGGAAATACAAGAAATCATTTGTAGTTGGAGTTCTCCACAAATCCTTCATGGATGATGTGGAGCTTTGAAATAGGTCTTAAACGATTTGTAAGATATAGGTAAGTGTGGAGAGTAGACATTTTGAGTAGAACAGCTTAATACAAGACAGAGAAATGAATGCATGTAGAATGTACAAGGGGGCATTTAAGGCAGTGAGCTCTGCCTTAAATGAAGTATTCTTCTTGGATTTATTAGGAAGTGAGGCTGGGTTGGGGACAGAGTTGGCAGCAGACTGGAAAATCCAGAATTCTGGTAGGAGAATTCAAACTTGATTTGAAGGACGTTAGCATTCTGAAAATGTTACTGAGAAAACTATAATTGGGTTTAAAACTGGCTATACTTGCTGATTAGGCAGAGGCAAATGGTAAGAACAGGGATAGTGCAGACACGAAGTAACCAGAGCCCAGACTGAGGATGGCAACGTGGAACATGAAAGAGAGATGGAGGAATCAATGGGACTTGGTGATTATTTGGACATTAGAGAATGATCGACAAAGAGAGTGGAGGGGCACCTGGGTGGCTCAGACTGTTAGGTGTCCAGCTCTTGATCTCAGCTCAGGTCTTGATCTCAGGGTCATGAGTTCAAGCCCTGCACTGGATTCCATGCTGGGCATGGAGCCCACTTAAATAGTTGAAGATGTGTCAGTTTTCAAACCTAGAGATTAAGTTAGAAGCAATTTAATTTTACAACTAAAAGAGAATACTGCTTTTTCTTCTTTTTAAATACTGTATCTGTGATTATGTGGTATTCAGCTTTTGTCTTTAATTCCTGCATATTTACTTCTTTGTTTTTAGCAGCTTTGAGATACAATTCACGTATTATACAACTCACGTTTAAAGTGTACAATTCAGTGGTTTTGTATATTCATGGATATGTGCAGCCATTAACATAGTTCATTTTAGAGCATTTAATCACCTCAAAAAGAAACACGATTTCCCTAGGTTCTCACTCCTATATCTCCCCATTTCCTCCCATCCCCACCCGAGGCCTAAGAAACCACTAATCTACTTTCTGTCTCTTTAGATTTCTCTGTTCTGGAGTTTCATATGAAAGGAATCATATAATAAGTGTTTTTTTGTTGTTGTTGTTCCTGCCTGCTTTTACTTCACACAGTGTTTCAAATGCATCCATGTCATAGCATGTAACAGTTCTTCATTTTTTCAACTGCTGAATACTAGTCTATTGAATAGATGTACCGCATTTTGTTTATCCAATCATCTGTTGATAGACGTTTGGGTTGTTGTCATTTTTTGGCTATTATGAAGAATGCTGCTTTAAACATTCATGTAGAGGTTTTTGTGTGAACATGTATTTTCATTTCTCTTGGTATATACCAAGGAGTGAAATTCCAGGGTTACATGGTAATAGTTTGAGGAAGTACCAGACTGTTTACCAAAGTGGCTCTACCATTTTCCATTCCTACTGGCAGTGTATGAGGGTTTAGATTGCTCCACGTTCTCACTAACACTTGTTACCTGATTTTTTGATTCTAGCCATTCTAGTTGGTATGAAGTGGTATCCCATTGTGATTTTGATTTGCATTTCCCTGATGACTAATGCAGATTTACATCTTTGCCTTTTTTTCAGTAACAGTTTCAATATAGGGGAGAAACAAAGGATGGTGTTTTGAATTGCTATAAAAATAAATCCTTTTTTTCTAAAAATAAGATCATTTTCTCTCCTATAACATTTTATATAGTTAGAAAATGGCAATTTAGATGCTGGTAAACATAAACATAAGAAGGAATAGGTAATAGAAAAGGGACCATTCTTAGTTTGAAACTTACTTTAGCTTCGTATAAGCAGTATATTGCCTTCTGTGAATAAAACACTATAAAGCAGTAAGTTATGTATACATTCCATAGAGTCACAGAGAATTTTCTAGACCATTATGGATATAGTATCCTTTGTTGTATTGCATTGTGGGAAATAGCTTGTAATTAATTACATAGTGCTTTGTATTTTTCCAAGTGTGTTTTCATACATTGTCTTTTGCTTCTTACAGGGCAGGTAGAAGGAGTGATATTAGGTGTATAGTGTTAACAAATCTAGTTGTCTGAGAGTCCTCTCTGATGAATATTTATTTTTTTTATTTTTAAAGATTTTTATTTATTTATTTGACAGAGAGAGAGATAGCAAGAGCAGGAACACAAGCAGGGGGAGTGGGAGAGGGGGACGCAGGCAGGGAGCCTGATGCAGGGCTCGATTCCAGGGCCCTGGGACCGTGACCCGAGCCCAAGGCAGATGCTTAATGACTGAGCCACCCAGGCGCCCCTGATGAATATTTTAAAAACAGTACTGAACATTTTAAATCAAGGCATTGGGGAGCCATTGAATCGTTTTTAAAAGGGGCTGATGAAGTTAGAAGATAGGTAGCAAAGAAATATCATGTATCCATAAAGTCAAAGTGGGATGCAAGGGACCACTGCCAACAGTGGATTTTTATGAGAGAATAACTTCCCAGTTCTGGGCATTTGTTGGCCCATTCCAGGTAGTACTTAATATAACCAGACTCAAGTATATTGAAAGAGTTTTCAGTAATCTTTTAAGAGCTTTACTAGTCAGTGTGTTTTGAAGGCCAGTATCTTCAGTTTGCCTGGGAAAGTGTTACAAATGTAGACTTTTGAGTTTTACCCCAGAGTATGGAATCAGAATGTGTATTTTAACAAGACCAGTGATTTGTATGGTTATTAAACTTTGAGAAGTGGTTTTTTTTTTAAATATATTTTATCTGGCTTTGATTACCATATGGAATTTACCTTTAAAATTTGTAAGTTAACAATTGGGGAAAAACGATGTGCCATGAAAAAGGGTTAAATGAAGGTCATTGGTCACCATGCTGAGTGGAGAATTAAAGGATATAATCATGTTATTTCAGAGGCTTAGAGAATGTCTAAGGTTAATATAAAGGTTAAAGTAATAATGCTATTATAGGGAAGATTAATGGTGAAATGCAAGCTTTTACTATAGATGGGAGTGTTCTATGCCATAAGTGGACACTATAGTGGAATGTAAAACTACTTGAATATGTTGCATCTTCATGTAACAGGTTAGCAAACTTTAGCATATTCATAGTTGGCTTTGTCTATTAGATGCTGGTACAATGAGCAATTGCTGGGTGTGTAACAGTATCTTTAAATACACACACACACACACACACACACACACGCTTTGTTTTCTAAATAGATACTACATACATGCCTGGTAAAAAATCAAAACACTATAAAAGATACACCATGAAAAGTCTGGTTCTTACTCCTACACTGTTTGTGCTTCCTACCAGTAGCTCCCTGTCTCTTCCTTGAGTGTAAAAATGTAACCAGTTATAATAGTTTCTTAATATATTTATAGTGTCTTTTCATTCAAGTACAAGCCTAAAAGATAGCATAGTCAACACTGTATTCTGCACCTTGTCTTTTAAGACGATATATCTTGGAGATCTTTGTCTTAATATTTTTGTAGTTGTGTAATTTTACATTGCAGAGTTATTAAAATTTATTTCACTGATCCCCAACTGATGAATATTTGAGTTATATTTCAGTCATTTGCTATTGAATGACCACATCCACAAGACATTTCATATGTGTGCAGTTATATCTATTTAAAAAAATCCCCAGCGGAACTCCTGGCTGGCTCAGTCAGTAGAGCCTGCCACCGTTGATTTTGGAGTTATTGTAAATTCAAGCCCCACATTGGGTGTGGAGATTACTTAAAAATAAAATCTTTAGGAAAGTGGGATTACTGGATATTGCTCTCCTAGACTATATTCCAGTATATATTCCTATTATAGTATTTGAGAGTGTTGCTTTTCTTACAGCCTTAACAAGGGAGTGTAATGAAATATTTGAATCTCTGCTATTATAAAAAGTGAAAAATGATGTCTTGGTGAAATTTTTAACTTTTCATGTGTTTAAGGACTATTTCTATTTTTATGTGAACTCGTTGTTCATAATATTTGTCTATTTTCTTAAAGATTGGGTTATTGGTGTATTTACTAATTTCTAAGAGCTCTATATTGTTTGGGGGGAGATTAGCCCTTATATGCAAAAATAGTTTTCCTCAGTTGTTTGCTTTCAGTGCTTTTTCTTTCTTTCATGCAGATGTTATATTTGTCAACCTTAATTTTTATGGCTTTACACACTTCTGATTTTGAGTCATGAATAGAAAGCTCTTAAGATTTTAAAGGGATTCACTGATGTTTTCTTGTAGTATTTCTTTGGTTTCTTTCATTTTTCTTTTCCAGGCGGCTACCCAGTTTTCCTAACATCACTTATTGAAAAGTCTATTTTGTCCAACTGATAAGACAATGATTCCCTTATCACCTACTACATTTACCTCTATATTTGGGTCTACTTGATTTTTTTTGTCCCATTGGTTTGTCCATTGGCCTATACTGCATTGATAAAATTAAGGTTTTTAATATCTGGTAAAGTTAGTACTTCTTCATGAAGCCAAGTCAGGAAAATATTTCAAAGAGGAGAGAGTGTTGAAGGGTGCCAGTAGATCAAGTATTTTAAAAATTTATTGCTAGCTATTTTATCTCTTTTTTTTTAAAATAATTTTTTTATTGTTATGTTAACCACCATATTTTATCTCTTTTGTTGCTGTGGTAAAAGAGCTTTTTCACTGTATCTTCTAATCAGTGCTTATATAAATGAAGGGTATGAATTTGTGCATATTAATTTTGTATCAATACTGAATTATTATTTAGTAATACTTTAAAAGATTTATTTGAGAAAGAGTGTGTGCGCATGCACTAGTGAGTGTGGAAAGGAGGCAGAGGGAATCTCAAGCAGACTGCATGCTGAGTGTGGAGCCTCAATGGGACTTGATCCCACAACCTGTGAGATCACAACCTGAGCCAAAACCAAGAGTTGGATGCTAAACTGACTGAGCCACCCAGGTGCCCCATTATTTAGTAATTTTTTACTTGATTATCTTAGAATTTTCAGACATGCAGTCATTGCATCTGCAATTCTTTATCCTTTCCAACTTCTCTACCTCTACTTCTTTCTTCTTTTTTTTAATTTTTATTTTTAAAAAAAGATTTTATTTATTTATTTGACAGAGAGATAGTGAGAGAGGGAACACAGGCAGGGGGAGTGGGAGAGGGAGAAGCAGGCTTCCTGCCAAGCAGAGAGCCCGATGCGATGCGGGGCTCCATCCCAGGACCCTGCTGAGCAGAAGGCAGACACTTAATGACTGAGTCACCCAGGAGCCCCTCTACTTCTTTCTTCTTGTTTACTTGCATCGTCCACTGCAAGTTGTACTTTCCCTTACCTAATTGTATTGGCTTGGATCTCTAGCATAAAAACTTGGATAATCCTTGTCTATGTCTTGATTTTAGTGGGAATACTTTTAGGGTTCCCCACTAACCACTAAGACAGCTTTTAGGCTAGGTACGTGTGTGTGTGTTTATGATGCAGTCTTTGATTCTTATAGAGTTAAAAAAATGTAAAATTCTTTAATTTATTTAATGCTTTCTCAGCATCATTGGAGATTATTATATGATTTATCTCCATAAGTCTAGTAATACTCTTTTTATATTAATAAATTCCTAATATTGAACCATTGTTGCATTTTTAGAATAAATGTACTATTTATGCACTATTTCTAGAATAAAATTACTAGGATGAGTTGCTGCTGCTACTGTTGTTCTCCTCCAGTTGTCAGATTTTATCACCTATGCTGAGTTCAGGATTCTGAATACTCTCATGGACTTTTTTTTTTTTTTTAATTTAATTAATTTTTGTTTTCCTCAGGGACTTTTTAAGATATGTCCAAGTATAAATTTGAGAGTCAAACTCAGAAGAAATTTTCTGTTATTAGGACTTCTTTCCCCCCTTACAAATAGGGGTTTATCATTTGTATTTTCTTATGCTTCACAAAATTATTGGTCACAGGTTTTTCTTCTTTGATTTGACTGTTTGCAGTAAACATCTGGGTTTAATTTTTATCCTTGATTTCAGATCATACATATCTAAGGTTTTTAAATAGTCACTTGTGGTTTACCCAGAGGTAACAACGATTTTATGATTTCTTACCTCTTGAAGTAGTAGGATTTTCTAGTTTTTATTTTCTCTGTATTTAGACTGATTTATTAAATCCAAGGAACTGCCAGTAGAATCTAATAGATAATAAGCTGTATCTTCTGACCTTGCTCAGTAGTTTACTGTAACTTTCTCCTTCAAAATGAAATTCCACTTTTTTTCGTTCCTGATAATATTAACTACATCTTCTCTGTTTATTCCTTTGTAGACATACTGAACTCTTTGTTGTTCTTGAACAATCCAGATATCCCCCTCCTTAGGACTTTGGTGCTTCTGTTCCCTTTGCCTGGAATGCTCTCTCTGGTTAATATCTTCCTGGCTTTATCCCTTACCTTCTTTAAGTCTTTGCTCAAATGTTACCTAATAAGTCGGGCCCACCCTGACTTCCTTATTTAAAATTATAACCCACCTCTGTATTTGTGATCTTCCTTTTCCTGCTCTAGTTTTCATAGCATTTAGCACCTTTTAATATTCTTTATAATTTAGGTATTTATCAGGTTTCTGTTCCCCCCATCCTTTCTAAAATGTAAACCATTCAAAGTCAGGAATTTTTCCAGTTTTTAAAAAGTAATACATACATATATATACATATATATGTATGTGTGTGTATATACATACACATTTTAAACTGATATATCTACAGTGCCTAAAACAATACCTGACACATAGGAACTCAAATATTTGCTGGATGAATGAACAAACTATCTTGAGGAGGTCTTATTTTTAAAGAACTCCCATTTAGGGTCAGAATAATCCCAATATGATGTGCAAAGAATCATAACTTATCCTTTAACTTATGAAATTAATTAATTTAGACTATTTTTCTCCCTCTAGATTCATCGAAGCAAGAACAAATGGAAATTCTATTTGAAAGATGGTGTTATGTGTTTTGGAGGGAGAGACTATGTATTTGCAAAAGCCATTGGTGATGCAGAGTGGTAAAACTTAAGAGTTTGATACACCATAAACATCAGTGGGACTATATTACATACTGTGAAACTTATTTTAAATATAGTCCAGTACAGAGCTGCTCAAATTTTTAGTTCACTGTATGGAACTTAATAAAACTATAATTCAGATGCAGATACAATACAAATTCAATTTTATATTTCTTTCATTTGTTGTTTTAATGGGGTTTCTTTTTTTTTTCCGTAAATATTTATTAGTCAAGTTTCTCACAGGAGCTAGACAATAGTCCATTCAAGGCTGGAGTATCTATGCTGCTGAAGAAAAATCCCCACGCTCTGGCTATCAGAAGCACAGGTGACAAGACTGACATTGTCTCAGAGGTTAAGAAATTAAATGTAATTTTTTCTGGGGGGACAAAAGATTTTCCTTAAGAAACAACTTTTAGGCTGACTAGTTGTGTAAAATGTAGTATTGCAGAATTTTCATCTAGACAAATGTAAATGGTTTATTACCAGTTCCTAACTTCACCATAGAAAAACCTTAAAATCATTTTTATGGAATGTCTGATTCTCAGTGGCATTTTCAGATGGTGAGTAGTTGAGTTTGAAGAGATAAAGCTGGGGCCAGAATATGGAAAGCTGTGAATGCCAACCTAAGGGATTTGAACTTTATCGAGTATTCAGTGGGAGCCACTGGAAATATTTCAGCAGAATAATGGAAGAGGGACCTAGTTCTCATTCTTGTGTGGGGTTTCTTTTTTTAAAAGCCCTCATTATTGATAGCATTACGAAGCATAAATGAATCAGATGTGATGGAACATGAATAAATGTTATGTTTCTTTAATCTCGAGGTAAAATTTAAATCAGACTCCAATTCCCCTTCATGGTAAGGTCGGTATCAGTTATTAGATTGGTGCTGGTGTCCTCCCATCTCTCCCCAAACCATGTTACAACAGATCCTGGAGAGTTTTGTAATTAGAGGGATATTCAAGAAGGCTTCTCTAGGTCTTCAGTCTACACTGATCACTAGTGATAGGCTGACCTTGCAAGCCCAAGTGGTCCCTTGGAAGCAGATAGCTGTTGAAACCATACTGTACTTGAACAAGGAAATCTGTGTTGAGCCCAGGATCCCTGGAGCTAAGAATCAGCCTCTCTAGGTTTAGCATGTGACTGGACCATTCTTCTTCATATTCTGCTATCTCCCTGAGAATTGTGAGGAAGTGGTTAGGTTCCCATTCTATTTCTTGAAACTTTAGACTTCTGTCTTTTTAGTCCTGTTGGGTTTTTCCTTCATCTGTCATTTTTTTCTATTTTTCTTAACAGTGGAAGATTCCTTTGCAGTCTCTTTCCCCTGAAAGACACCATCTCTTTTCCTTTGCTCTCACAGGGAATTGCCTCACTGAATTGAGGTTTTCTAAAGCAAAAGTTAAGAAGAGATGTCCGTTTCAGGAATCTTCTGTTTTGGCTAGGCAATCTCATTTGACACAGGAAGAGCTAGATAACTGTCTTAAAATCAGGAAGAGAAAACAAAGTGCAAAACACAAATAACTCTCATTTTCCTGCAGCAATAAAAACAAAATCTCAGTAAGCTGTTCTGTAATACTTTTTTCCTTAGTAGATTCAAATTCATCAAGGGAACATTTTCCCTATCATTCTGCTTCTCTTAACAGGTAGAGTAAACATGGTCTCTAAGATCCTACTTTCAGCCCTGAATGGTGTTCTCTAGGATAGTAACTCTCATAGACAAAACAGTGCTGAGATGAGTGGGTTATGGTCTCGGAAAGCTCCCCAAGGATTAGATACCTCGGTTTGGCTGGTCACAAGGCGAAATCCTCATTTTTTTTTTTTATTTAATAGTTTGTTTTTATACAACTTTTTTTTTTTTTTTTTTTTTTAAGTAGGCTCCATGCCCAGTGTGGGGCTTGAACTGATGATCCTGAAATCAAGAGTTGCATGCTCTACTGACTGAGCCAGCCAGGTGCCCTTAATTCCTCATTTCTTTTTCAGAGACAATCCCATTTGGAGAATTTAATTTATTCCAGTACTTGTCCTGTCCTACCGAAGGGACTCAGCTACTAGTAGATCTTTTCAAAATCTGGATTAATCTCTTCTGGGCCTTGGACAACATTTGTGGGGTACTGTCTTTGGCCTAAAGTTGGCAGCTGCAAGAGGATTCAGTTAATACTAGTGAATGTGCTGCTCTCCTAAACCAGATTCTCCAGCTATGCCCTCTTCATCATCAGAGTAATTATCCTTTTCCCTATGACCCCCACTGTCCCAGATCCTTGTCTGGTTTTTGAGAACTTCCAGGAGCTATGGGTCCCCTTAATGAATGTTGTCCTTCATGAAATGTCCATCTTTTCTACACAGAAGGCAAAAGACGACACTTACTTCTTGTGTTTATTCTTAAAATGTACCTCATCCGGGACTGAAGAGTATACTTCTAGTGTTCTTGCCTTCTTCCTCCCAGTGTTGCCCAATCATTCTGTATTTGTCCTAAGCAAACCTTACTGCAAATTAAGGGCTGAATTTATTGAGAAGGTGTTGGGGTGTTGGGGTTTAATGTATTGATTCAAATGTTTGGCAGAGGCAATAACAGTTGTTTCTAAAATTCCTTACCTCTTATGCACTGTGGCTTTTACAATCTCACTTTGTTTCAGTGATTTTTTTTAAATGGCATATCACAAATACTATTAAATCAGTCCTCTTTATTTATGTGGTCCTCTTTTTTTTATCATTAGAGAAAAAAGTCACACTTGTTCCATTTGTGTGTCTGCGTGCCTTCATGCCCCTGATCTTTTAGAATTGCAAAAACTCAATTTAAAAACTAAGCTTACCACAAAATAGAATAAAGCGAACAATAATTTTGGCATGCTCATATAAATGATAGTTTTGGCAGTGGCTGCAGAGAGAATTAAGAGATTCTCCAAATTATTTTGGATCTGGTGTCCTTTTATTAGTTTCAAATAACACCAGAAAAAAATTCCTACTTCCTGAAAAGTTGTCAAAACCAGAGGTTTTGAAAATTTTTTGGCTACTATTTACACTAAGAAATTAACAACCAGTATATGTTTGCATGTACATAGATACACATAATACAAGTTAAATAAAAGTTTTGGAAAATCATGCTTACCTCTAGCACACGATGGCCTTCTATATTTTCTATTTGATTTTGTTCTGTTGGATTAAAAATTGATGGTCTTGAGCTATAAATTGATATCACTACCTACTGATGGGTCATGACTCCTAGTTAAAGTATTTTCAACTCGTGCTAAAGAAAGCAAGACGAATCTTACTAGTGCATTTTAAAAGAGAGAATTATTCCATAAACCTGAGCCTTGGCTTTGATATGGTATTACTTTTAATTTCAGAAACCCTTCATCATGTCCAAGTTGAGCATTTCTTGTATATTATAACAAAATTCCATATGGTAGGTTGTAAATATAGTACCTTGGCAAATGTCATCCTGCACCCTTTTATAGGTAGAGAAATTGTCTCTATTATAGAGGTTACAATTTGCTGTGTTAAATGAAATTTGTGAAAGTATCCTAATTCCTATTTCAAACTTTTTCTCATGCTTGCATCCTACAGTGCTTTCTTACATACTTTCCACCTCTCCCTACAGTCTAAGAAGATCTTGCTGAATTTGCAGTTAGTCTCTTAGGGGCTGACTGATTGACCTTGCCTAGAATACTTCTTTACCTATTTTATTCAGTGTGCTTTAATATGTGTTACTAATCATCTGTACAGCTCAGACTCCATGGGATAATGAGGTTCCAAGTCTGGCTGAGGCACTCAGTTTCAATAATTTTAGTTGTGTAGGAAAATGAATATCTTTAGAATGAATAGCAACAGTTAATTGGGGTGGTAAGTGGGGAAATTTAGTGGGAATTTTCTTTTGACTCCTGTTATTAGGTTAATATTATGCTGTTTTCATGTAAAAATACTGTAATATGCCACATGGGAACTTTGTGATTTATAACTAGAAAACTAAATTATAAATAGGAAGGCTATGGTAATAACTCTTAGGAAGAAATTCAATATTAATAAAAAATATTGCACATTTCAAAGAAGAGATTATTCCAATTAGGAACACATTTATTGAAATCTTTGTGATGTAAAGATTCTTAATTTACATGTAGACTTAATACATTTTTGAGGAAACTAAAACCAGGCCCTTTACAGCAAATGTTAGGAATGGAGGACATAGTAACTTTTAAAAATATTTTGTAAGTTTAGCTGAGTGATTCTTTTTTTTTTTTTTTTAAAGATTTTATTTATTTATTTGACAGAGACACAGCGAGAGAGGGAACGCAAGTAGGGGGAGAGGAAGAGGGAGAAGGAGGCTTCCTGCTGAGCAGGGAGCCCGATGCGGGGCTCGATCCCAGGACCCTGGGATCATGACCTGAGCCGAAGGCAGACGCTTAACCACTGAGCCACCTAGGTGCCCCTAGATGAGTGATTCTTGACTGATTAATCTTTCTTCGTCATTTTCAAACTGCCAGTGATAATATCGAACATGGTAAAGAAAAACAAAAACAAAAACCCACAAGATAGAAATGAAATTTCCTGAGCATTTGATGTTTTTATCATTTATGTATGAAGGATTACACAGATTAAGAATATACGAGACCATCTCATGAGGGAAATACTTCTTCATAAGGATTTGTCTTATATTTTAGTTATAAAAGTGAATCAGTTGAAAAAATTATTAATCACATACCATGTATAAGACTTGAGGATAGATATAGTGGGAGAAATCAAGTAAAAGAAATGAGTTTATCACTAAAGAAATTTATAACATAGGTGAAATAAGAGGTATATGTGTTATATAATAATACCCAGTGTTTAGCATAAAAGACAGATGAGTGATAGGGATGACAAGGCAAAAGAAGTCCAGAGAGATTGTTGTGGGTCACATATTTATTATTTATGCCTTTGTATTTTGGGTAAAGGAGGTGTCTTAAATTCGGTGGATTAGGGAGGGGGTGGATTAGGAGAGCTTGGTAACAAAGCTAAACCTGTGGCTGGGGTGCAGGAGGAGGCCAGGTAAGGAAGAAGGTATTCTGGACAGTAACAGTGGCACGGGCACCAGAATAGAGATGCGTGGGGCATGGCTAGGGAAAAGCAAGTGGAAGAGTTTGTTTCATGCAGAAGAACAGCAGGAGACCAAGTGAGCAGATTTGAGAATGGATTCTGGAGCTCTTTGAATGTTAGTCTAGGAGCTAAAACTTAAATTTATAGGTACTGGGCGCCTGGGTGGCTCAGTTGGTTAAGCGACTGTCTTCGGCTCAGGTCATGATCCTGGAGTCCTGGGATCGAGTCCCACATCGGGCTCCCTGCTCGGCGGGGAGTCTGCTTCTCCCTCTGACCCTCTTCCCTCTTGTGCTCTCTATCTCTCATTCTCTCTCTCTCTCTCAAATAAATAAATAAAATCTTTAAAAAAAAATTTATAGGTACTGATGTGCTGCTCAGGATTTTGGCATGTATGTAATAGGATGAAATAGGATTTTAGGAAGATTAATCAGTAGTGAGTATGAGAGTGTGGACACGGCAAAGATTGGATATGAATAAAAATGAGGGAGATATGATAGGACTTCTGAGGTAAGGGGGAATGGCCTGAAATGACGGTGTGGCAGCAGGAATGCAAAATAAAGACTTGATATAGAAGACATTCAAAGACACTCAACAACTGGTAGGTCTTCATGAATGAAAGGATATGAGGATGAGGGAGATAGTAAACTATAACTCTATGTTGAAACTTAGAAAAATCAGTATTTGTGGATAAGGCCACAAAAGTTATTTTCAGAGGATATATACAAGTACTTTGGCTCAAACGATATTTAAGAAGACATAATTTTTTTTTAAGAATTTTTTATTTATTCATTCGAGACACAGATACAGAGAGAGAGAGAGAGAGAGAACATGAGCAGTGGGAGAAGCAGAAGGAAGGGGAGAAGCAGGCTCCCCGCTGAGCAGAGAGCCTGATGCGGGGCTCGATCCCAGGACTCTGGGATCATGAACTGAGCCAAAGGCAGACGCTTAACCATCTGAGCCACCCAGGTGCCCCAAGAAGACATACTTTAAATAGAATTTCTCTGCAATGATATATTTTACTTTTTTTGACTTTCTGCTTTTTTGCTCATTTAGTTGTTTTGGTTCTGGGATTTATGAATTAATCAAAAAGTTTATTATGTATGTAACAACATGACTAATTAGTATTCTCTCAGATCACTGAGACAACTTCTAGAATACTATCTTACCAGAGAGGATTGCATCTGAGTAAAGAGAAGTAACTAGTTCTAAGTAGAAAAGTCAGAAATGTGAAAAACATACAGAGAAAAGAGATACTTTGTAAAGCTTATGATCTTTTATAGGCTATTTTGAATCACTTTGCACAGTGGCATAAAGGTAGAAGGCAGATTAAATACATAGTCTAGTTGTGACTATACATTTATTTAATAAAATGTTGAAGGAGAGCTAAAAACTGGAAATAGCCCAGATATCCATCAGTAGGAGAATGGAAAACAGTGTTAGAGCCCTACAACTCAGCAATGAAATGGAATTAACTACCACAATGATTCAAGCAATAGCCTGGATGAATAGCAAAAACATTGTGTTGAATTAGAGAAGCCTTGCACAAGAGTATATACTGTATGATTCTATTTATATGAAGTTTTAGAACAGGCAAAACTCATCTATGGGGGAAAAATCAGAACCATTTTTACCTTTGGGGGGTGGGAGTGAGCGGTTAATTAGGAAGGGGCATGAGGGAATTTTCTGAGGGTGATAGAGTTCTTTGTCTTCATAGAGGTTTGGGGTCACATGGATATATGAGTTTCTCAAAATTCATTAAACGGTGTGTTTAGTATTTGTCCATTTTACTTGTCCATGTAAGTCTTACCTAAAATGTAAAATATTGAGCCTTGGTTAGTGATAAGCATGCTTGAAGTGTTTAGAGCTGATGAGTACTGATGTCTGCAACTTGCTTTATTTTTTAATTTCTAATTTTTTTTGCTTTCAAAATTTTTAATTTTAATAGACTTTATCAGGGTAGTTTTATTTATTTATTTTTTTGATTTTTATTATGTTAATCACCATACATTACATCATTAGTTTTTGATGTGTTCCATGATTCATTGTTTGCGTATAACACCCAGTGCTCCATGCAGTACGTGCCCTCTTTAATACCCATCACCAGGCTAACCCATCCCCCCACCCCCTCCCCTCTGGAACCTTCAGTTTGTTTCTCAGAGTTGTCGGGGTAGTTTTAGGTTCACAGCAAGATTGAGTGGAAGGTACAGACATTTCCCATTTACTTAGTCACCCTGCCACACAACACACAGCCTCCCCCATTATCAATATCCCCTACTAGGGTGGTACATACACTACAACTGATGAATGTACATTGACTCCTCAGAGTCTGTAGTTTATGTAAGAGCTCACTCTTGGTGTACATTCTATAGATTTGGATAAATATATAATGATATGTATCCACCATTATAGTATCATACAGAGTATTTTAAAATTAAAAAAAATTTTTTAAGATGTTATTTATTTATTTGACAGAGAGACACAGTGAGAGAGGGAACACAAGCAGGGGGAGTGGGAGAGGGAGAAGCAGGCCTCCTGCAGAGCAGGGAACCCAATGTGGGGCTCGATCCCAGGACCCTGGGATCATGACCTGAGCCAAAAGCAGACCCTTAACTGACTGAGCCACCCGGGCACCCCTTAAATTTTAAAAATTTTAATTGAAGTATAGTTGACCCTATAACATTGTACTAGTTTCAAGTGTAAAACAGTGATTTGACAACTATATATATTGCAAAATGCTTACCACAATGAGTGTAGTTACCATCTGTCACCATACAAATTTACTAAAATATTATTGACTATATTCTCTATGTTGTACTTTTCATCCCTGTGACATATTTATTTTATAACTGGAAATTTGTACCTTTTAATCCTCTTTCCCTATTTTGTCTGCCTCCTACGCTTCTCTCCCCTGGCAACAACCAATTTGTTCTTTGTATTTATGAGGAAGTTTTTGTTTGTTTTGGTTTTTAGGTTCTACATGTAAGTGAAATCATATAGTATTTCTTTCTCTGACTGACTTACTTCACTTACACCCTCTAGGTCTATCCATTCAAGAACGGCAAGATTTCACTCTTTTTTTATGGATGAATAGTATTTCAGTGTGTGTGTGTGTGCATGTTTGTGTGTGTGTGTGTGTCTGTATGTATGTATATGTATATATTTTCCAAACCTTCTTTATCCATTCATCTGTCTATGGACCCTTGGGTTGCTTCCCATATCTTGGCTCTTGTAAGTAATGCTGCAATAAACAGGGGTCATATATCTTTTCGAATTAATGTTTTGGGGTTTATTTGTTTCAGACAAATACCCAGAAGTGGAATTATTGGGTTGCATGATATTTCTATTTTGATTTTTTTGAGGAACCTCCATACTCTTTCCCATAATGGCTGCACTAATTTACATTCCCACCAACAGTGCATAAGTGTTCCCTTTTCTCCACATGCTTACCAACACTTGTTATTTCTTGTCTTTTCGAGTCCAGCCATTCTCACAGGGGTAAAGTGGTATCCCATTGTGGTTTTCATTTGCATTTTCCTGATGATGAGTGATGTTGAGCATCTTCTCATGTGTCTGTTGGCCATCCATAGGTCTTTGAGAAATGTCTATTCAGAGAGTGGATTTTAGAGGGACTCCATCTCTAGAGAAGGAACAGCCCCATCTTTGCCCATTTTTAAATCAGATTATTTGATATTTTGGTGTTGAGTTGTATGAGTTCTTTATGTATATTTGGATATCAGTGCCTTATCACATATGTCATTTACATGTATCTTCTCCTGTTTACCAGGTTGGTTGCCTTTTTGTTTGGTTGATAATGTCCTTAGCTGTGCAAAAGCTTTTTATTTTGGTATAGTCCCAATAGTTTATTTTTGCTTTTGCCTTCCTTGCCTAAGGAGACTATCTAGAAAAATGTTGCTAAGGCTGATGTCAAATAAATTACAGTCTATATTTTCTTCTAGAGGTTTCATGGGAGAAACTACATTTTAATTTTAAATTTAACCTAGCTGCATGTGGGTAGTGGCCACCAGATTGGACAGTGCATCCCTGGAGGGTGTTTTTCAAACTATGTGAGGAAAAGGACCAGTTATTTTAAATTTCAAATCTGTTATGGACTAATATTTTTATAAAATGCAATAAAAATCACTACAAAGATGAAATGAAAAAAAACCCCAAAGATATGTAAAATACCACCTCATTTGGAAAATTTTAGATTCAACAGACATTAAATTATTCTGTCAAAATTGCTAGAAGTGTTTCTAAACACTCTCAACATTTGTATTTTATGTCATGTACCAATGACAAATAATTTTTAGACTGGCAATGGTCATGGACAACACTTTGAGTTAGGTAGCTATCTCTTTTTAGCCCAGTGTGCCTAAGAATAAATAATTTCCTAAAACCAAGTCTTTGTTAAAATTACTAGTACAGATCATTTTTTACATTTTTAAGCACAATTCAATAATGTGGTTACTGATAAAACAGTTAACACTCTATTAGCAAGTCTTGTCTGGGACAGTCATATATTGACACTGCAAAGGAGACAACTTCAGGGTGGACTGAGAAGGCTTATTTGATCCAGTAAAGCCATTTTTGCAGTTAGAGGTATAAGCCACAAAATCCTTCCTTCTATACAGTTCAGCCCGACGTTTACAGCAGCCAAATTTGCTCAGCAACAGAAAGAAATCTCTTTGGAATGCCTTTGTGAAAATCGCATACAGAAATGGATTGGCACAAGAATTGACAGGATAAAAAAGAACCAGTAAAACTTTAGAGTTGGTTACTGTGATAAGGGGCACTTTGAAGGCAGCTGAGATGGCAAAAAAAGAGATCGGTGCCATGCAGGTGAAATCAGTGAAGATGAGGACTGCCATTTTCTTGGCAATCTTTGTATCTTTGTTGGTAGCCATCAGCTCTGGATTTTGAACTGCAAAATAAATTTTAATGTAGCAAGCACAAATGATGACGAAGGCCACCACATTGAGTATCAGGATGGTTAATATGTAGACTTGTGAGAGAGTGGTTTCCACATCCATGGGGAGGCAAATGCTGACCTTCATGTAATTGCTGACACCCACAAGGGGCAAAGTGGCAATTAGAGTAGAAAAGAGCCATCCTCCAAGCATGATCGGAATGGCATGTCTTAAACGTAGCTTTTGGTCCAGCTGAAGAGCATAGGTGATGGTGTGCCATCTTTCTAGTGTGATAACTGTGAGGGTGTAGACAGAAAGCTCACTTGAAAATATAGTGAAAAAGCCAGCTGCACTACATCCCCTCCCTGTCTGCCAGTCTATGGCGTGGTTATAATACTGGCCTTTGGTTTGGGAATCAACTGAGGCAATGAGCAGCAGATAGAGCCCCATGCAAAAGTCTGCAAAAGAGAGATTGCACATGAGAAAACGGGGCACTGTCAGTTTATAACGACTAGTCAGGAGAACAAAGAGAACAGTCACATTTCCCATGATGGCTAGGATATTAATCAGCCAAATCAGGACTCTAAGGAAGTCATAGCCCATAATATCTTCACAGGGATTAAAAGCATCTGGTTCAGGAGCACATCGGAGTGTCTTGGGTGAGCAGAAACCATAGTCATAATCCCAGTCACTCAGTTCACTCTCAGCAAAGATGGCAGAATAACTGTAAGAAGAATATTTTGTCTCAGTGTAAACTCAAGAGACTTTCTATGATTCTGTATATTAAAAAAAATGGAAGAATAATCCTTAGGGTTTTTTAAAATCCTATGAAACAAAAGGAAACAAAGCCACAACAGCCTCAGTCTTAGGTTTGTTAAATTATCCGAGAACTCTGAGTTGATATAGGAATTCCTTAAGGGAATATATATGTATGTATATCACTGAAGCAAAGACTTAATGAAGCTGTTGACAGAGGATGATTTTTCTTTGGAAAACAAACGTAAAGACACAGTATATGCTTGCTATGTCTAAAAGAATCCTTTCTTGGCATTTTCTTAGGTATTTATTTCATTTACTTGCCAACCAAACTGCTATCAAGCCATGTGTCTATAGTAGAACACAAATGGGATTGGAAGGCTCATCCTGCTGAAGGCTCACTGCTATGGGTAGCCTAGCTTGCACGTTGGTCTCTGGCTAATCACATAGCCCAGGTGAGAAGTGGAAAGCAAGGATGGACTACTGGAAACCTAGCAGAAGATGAATATAGACATGGACAACAGGGAGAAATGTCTGTCTTGGGGAAATAGGGACAATAGATACTCCTTAGGGGTATGAATCAAATTCAGAGAGTGGAATGAAGAGGAACTCCATCTCTAGTGAAGGAACAGCCCCACCTCTGGCACTCCCTTCCTCCCAAGCCCACTGCTACTAATTAAGTTCAGGTTTTCATCCTCTCTTACAAGACAGTTACATTAGTTTTCCCCCAGCATCCTTCCCCAATTTTAGCCCTCTTCCAGTCCATCTGTACCTTCCTCCTGGAATGGCTTTTCTTAAGTACAAATCTGTTCAAACTTTTGCTAGGTTCTCAATGGCTATGGGATAAAATCCAGACTCCTTGTGATGACCTCCAAGTCCTAAATGATCTGGGTTCTGCCTCTTCCACCAGTCTCATTTCCGAGAAGCAGTGGTACTGCACAATTGAGAACATGGGCTTTGGAACAAAGCTGACCGGGTTCCAGTCTTTACAGGCTGTGTAAATCTGGGCGGGAGAGTTACTATCTCTGTGCCTTAATCTCTTCATTTGCCAAATAGATCTACAAATCATACTTCCCTCATTAGTGTTGTGCTAAGGATTAACTGTGTTAACACCTATAGAATGTTTAGAATAATGCCTGACACATATTAAGGGCCCAGTGACTGTTAGGGATTCTTATAATGACCTCTTGCACATCCCTCATGCAACTTTCCCTTCGGTTACATGAAATGACTTGTGGCTCTCAGAATCTACTCTTTCATCCCTCTGTCTTTGTATGTGCTGTTTCTTCTTCCCTTCCTCTCCTTACTTCTCTGGCGAATTTGTCCTCATCCTTAAAGGTAAGCTCCTCTTTGAAGCCTTTCTTGCTTCTACACCTCCAAGGAGTTTATCACCCCTTCTGTCTGCCATGGCTGCCCTTAAAGACTCTTGTCATTACCAAACTGTACTGCTGTTGTGTGATGATGCATGTATTCTTTAATAATCCGTGAAGCTATTCTTTAAAAGCTTTGAAGGCAGGGGACTAGGTCTTATTTATTTCTGAACTCTCAGTGCCTCACAGTTTTGGGTCAGAGTATCCATTCAATAAATGCTTGAGGAATGAGTAAACCAGGGTGATCCTGGCTCTGAGAGGAATTGAAAGGATATAGGGACAACGAGTGTGTACAGTATGATGTATGTAGGCTCAACAAATTTTCTCTTTGCTAGGTCTGCTAATAAAATCTTGGGAGCTGGAGGAATGGGTATGATTTTTCTGTCAGGGCCATCACAAATATGGATTTTACCTTAGGATTTCTCACCCTTTAAAAGAGAATTTTTTTCTATTCTCAGAACTTAGCTTCTCATGTTCCAGACAAGGAAGTGTGAACTTGATTCTGTGAGTGGATGAAATGATATATTTGAGCAATACAATTACTGAAGGGAAATAACACAGATTAAAAAAGGAATAAAAAGAAATCTATGATCTGTGAATTCCGAAACGGTGCTAGAAATTCTTAGAAACCATTTTGGGACTAGTGAAGGATTGCTGCTCTGCATAGAAGATTGCATAGGAACCTCACCTGCTTTATTACTAAATACAGGTACATTTGTTTATCCTCATCTCATGCCCATTAATAGAATTACCTGTTTTTTTTTAATCTTTAAAGGGATATGGTGGTTATAAAAATGATTAAAGAAAATAGTTTATTTCTTTGCATTAGAGAGGTTCTGAGAGACCATCTCACTGAACCCCTCATTTTATTGGTGAGGAATCCAAGGTTAAAGGAGGTAGGTGATTAGCCTAAAGTCCCTTAGCACTAGGCTGTAGTGGTAGTGCTAGGTCTGCATATCCCTAGTGCAGAGGCCTTTCCTCTACGTCACTGTCTCTAGGTCAGTGCTTTTCTCCAGCCCTGCGTTGGCCCCCTGCTCAGTGGGGAGACTGCTTCTCCCTCTCCCTCTGCCTTTCCCCTGTGCTCATGCTTTCTCTCTCAAATAAATAAATACCATCTTAAAAAAAAAAACTACTTCACCTGCTACTAATAAAACTATGTCAGAAACACTAATTTGAAGCTTCCAAAAATTCTGCCATGATTTCTGAATAAATTTGTGTTAATAAGAGGTCAAACATGTTCTCTCTCTTTCCTCTGGTCCTTTGCCCTTTCTTTCTTTCTTTCTTTTTTTTTTTTTTTGCCCTACTGAGCATATGTCTAGCAATTTTTCTCCTTCGTGATTTGTCTTTAGACCAAATACCTACCTGCTGCTACTTACATTTGTGTCCTGGGACGGCTCCTGAGGGCAGCAGCATGCTTATTGACAAAACCCAGCAGGGAGCTGTCTTTAGTACTGAAGGGTATGAATGGACTCGTCTAGGCCTACAACACTGAGTCAGAGGAAGGAGAGGCTACTCCAATCATAATGAACAAAGACAGGAGGAAAGATTGGGATTGTAGGAGGAAGATGGGGCCAGCTGTAACAGCAAGGGCACTGATATCTTGGCGAGAGTAGGTTAGGATTAGTGGCTGGCTGTAGAATTTCTAAACTCCAGGGATTTAGGAATAGCAGGGTAGGAAGGGGGGGAAGGGGGTTTCACAGGGAGCACATTCTTTTTACCTAGATTATGTACTAATTTCACATAGTTTTGGGGATGCTGGAGATTAGGGGATTTGTTTTAAAGCAGTGTTAGTATAGCAAACTCAAGATTGTAGCCTTATTTGGGAAGGCTTGCGGCGGGGCTGATGAGGATTATTGAGAGTGGGCTAAAGTCTCCCGTCCCCACAAACTACCCCTTGATGCTACCGTTGACTATAGCCAGAAGTGTTTCCTGTTGAGGAAAAAAGCCATAGGTTACAAAAGAGTTATAGGGAAGGTGACTGACAGAATATCGAGACAAGAGCAGGAATGATGAGGAAAAGGAACATTGGAATACACTTGGTGTTGGACCTAAATGAAAGAGAAAAGGATACAGAGTATATTTCTAATGTACCCCAGATGCTGTCACATTCTTTAATAACTCCCTTCACTCTCATGCTTCTGAAAGCCAAATGATATTCCTGCTGCCTCTTACAGATGAGGAAAAATGTCTCAAAAAAGCTAAGTATTGTCCAGGGATACCCTTTGTTACAGGAACATCACTGCCAAGGATTCATGTCCAACTCAGAGAAGCCCCAGAGCCCAGGGTCCTTCAATCATACCACCCTGCTGCAACTATATAACTTGCAGATTGATGGGAAAAAAACAAGAGAAAAGAAAAAAAGATGAAGAGGGGATGGAGAATGGTAAGGTGTCTTAGAAGGGCATCTGGTTTTGTAGCCTGAAGGACACATGGGGGGAACTAATAAGATTTATAAATCACAGTAAATGTGGCATTGGGACACTGGGATTATCTTTTGAGGCATGCTCTTTTACATTTGAACGTATGTGAAATGCCAAGGCTGCCAGGAAGAACGTTAAAAAAAAATCAGTCAGTAGAATAGAAATGGAGCTCCCATGCAGTGTATATTAGTGATAGCATTGAGGTTGAATAATTTGAAGCTCCAGAGCATAGTGGTCAAGGTGGCCGGAGTCTTTTTGAAGGGAAGTGGCTACTTTTAGAAGCTGTACCTGCAATCAGTGTTAATCTTTGTTGACTACTGACTAGTGAAAATTCCTACAAATTAAGCCATCATTTAAACAAGCCCTGAGTGACCTCAAAATACCTGTAAATAAAATTTTAATTTCTGAGGATCATTTAACTGTAGAATGAACATGTAGATACATTTTTTAAAGAGTTTTTTTTTAAACCAGTTAAAAGAGATGTCTGATCAACTGGATGCCACTTGCAAAGAAGAAATTCCCATTTTAAATCTTTTAAAAAGTGCTTTGCAAACATCCCCCCAATGAAGACTTTTATCAGAAGAAAACCATTGGCACTGATAATAAGGTGCACATAGAACGAGACATGGCTTCCTGAATTTCTTTGCATGCAAATACTTACAGCGTTTCATTATTTGGTCTCCTTGCTGTGCTTTCACATTGTTTGGAAAAGTTTTCAAAAATGGAAAATGAAAAATTCTGTCTGAAAGAAAAGAGGTTTAAAAAAAAAGCAGTTGAGCTTTTGGTCTTTAAACTAAACATGATCATGTCTGTTTATGCTTTGTTCATCCAAATTCTTTACCTATTATACCAGTCATGTTCTGCACCATTGTCCTAACTGAAACATTCCCTGGGGAGAGAGTAAAGGCTTCAGAATTGTCATTAGAGTGCTTCCAGCTTAGATAAAATGCTCCTGAATGCTAAATGTTTTGTGTGGGCTCTAGAGATGAAAAAGCCTAAATCGGTCATGTAGAATCATGGATTTTTCACTGCTTATTAAAAACTACCTTTATGGTATATTAGGGTTTGCTCCTTACCACTCTCCTTACCACATTGCTCTTGATGAACAAATAACCATTCAGAATTCATGGCTTTGAATCCTAGCTGGGAAATCTGTTTTGTAAGGATTTGAAGATACTGGACTTCACATTATGATGTGAGTTTTCTACCCTTTTTCCTTATGTGCAGAAATATATGTGGGTACTCCCTACTCCTCCATCATTCCAAGAAGTTTAGCCTAATGGAAAGGAGAGAAGTATCAAGATATTAAAGGAGACTTGTACTTATATTCCTAAGATGAGACCAAAGGGAGGTATAAAAGAAAACTAGATGAAGAAATAGAGGGAAAGAGAAAAGGTGGTGCGAAACTCAACCTTTCCCAAGGAGGAAGGAGATACGAGGCAACTGAGACTAGAAATTTCTATCTATTCTTTTCCAATATTAACAAGACAATTCCTTGTACAAATAACTTTGTATACAAAGCAGGAAGGTGGATAATATAGCAGAACTATTTGACCTACTGGACACACTTCCAAAAATTAATCAGCTTGTTATTTTGGGTCAGGCTTATAAGTCCTCAAGTGTGTGTGTGTGTGTGTGTGTTCGTGTTCGTTCCGTATCTGACTCTTAGAGATACTGTGTGTGAACCAGTCTATAGTTAACAGGAAATGTGGTTGTTCTTAGCCTTCAGCTCATAGCCCTGGGTTCCATCTACTCTTTTTTGCAATTTTAATCATAGATACCAAGGAGGTCTTTGGGGCCATATGCCTAGGCAGCTGTGTGTGTTATCCAGGCCCAGCAGCTGCAGGGCAGAGGGGTGGCTCAGAGTTTGCATCAACATTCCGCTGGCCCAGCTTCAGGCTCTCCAGCCTCACTAACAGCCAAGGTTTCAAGCTTTATGGAGACAGAGGGAGTCAGTTAAAGCTTGTAATCCCAAGCAAGACACCCTCTGTGTGACTATATTCCCATTGCACTTTGATACTGGCCTACAACTGCATAAGCCTGTCCTCCCCCTTTTTTATCCAGAGGCAGTCTCTTTCATTTGCTGGAATAAAAAGCCCTTGAACTACTGTTTTTACATGTCAGTAATTTCAGAAGGTATGTGACCACTTTGCCTCCAAAGTTGAGGTGTCCAGAATTAGCTTTCTCATAAACCACTGTCTGTATTGTTCTTCAAATGAGTCTCTCACCAGCTTTACTCACATCCAAGCCATCTCCAGAGGTGCCGGAGTGTTATTTTACAAAAGCAAATCTGAGTAATTTTGCTTTGAGTTCTTCAGTGGTTCCCCATCCTCTGAGCAACCTGGCCCGGCACTCAGAGCCCATCACAATACACCTCTCCCTGTTTCGTCTGTGTACCCACAAACCATCTTGCTCCAGTTTTCCCAAAGGACTTCCATCCTTTGTCTCTTGCCTTTGTGCCTTCACACCACCTACTTTGTCTTCTTGGCATGGTTTCACTCACTCTTCCCTAGCCAACCCCTACTCCTTCTCCAGAGCTCAGCAGAAGTCACTTCCTCAGGAAGCCTTCTGTAAGTCCTGTTGCTGTTTAGAAGCTCTTCTTCTGTGCTCCCAGGACATTCTGTTCTGTTCTTAGCTCTACCATTAGCCTTGCTGTATTGTACTTAAACATTGGTCTCTTGTGTGTTGCCCCCAAACAGCTGTTTGTGACTCTCGGAGGGTGGGATGAGCTCTTAGTTATCTCTGTATCTTCAGATTTTTGTACAGTTTGGAAATGATAAGTGCTCAGTTAATATACTTTGAAGCTCAGTTAATGGTGCATGGCTCTCCGAGTGCTTTGTCTTCTTTTTGGTTACCTCAGAACTTCAGATAGCACTTCATGCACCTCTGCAAGGCACAAAGTAGATGTATAATAATACATGTTGGTTGACTCATTATAAATAGGTGGATTCCAAACAAAGACAGCAGCATCTTAGTGTCACTCTTCTAGCCCCTCATCTAATTAATTGAGAACATCTTAGCCTGCATAATAACACTACTGGGCAAATGTTTTCCCAGCTGTGAGTTTGTGACCCATTAGTGGGTCATGAAAACAGTAGAGTGCATCAAGACTAGTATTAAAAACACAAACACACATGGAATAAAATAGAGTAAAATAGACAAGAAAAATATGTGCACATTACACATGTAAAAAAGTATTGTTACCTATGTGACATGTATGGTGGTTTGCGATGTAAAAAAAGGTATTAGTATGTATCTCAGTCAAAAAGAAGTCTGGAAAACAATCTTTAAGGAAAGAATGAAATCCTGCACATGCTGTCCTTCCATTCTGGATTGTAGTGTATCAGTGGAATCAGCAAGATGCCCCCACTGGACACAAACCAGCCAAGAGCTCATGCCCTTTTTGTTCTGACACTAAGCTACTTCTTTGGGAGGTAGGATTTTGTTCTGAAATGAAAGATGGTCTTCTTGCTGGGAGAGAAATAGCTTTAAAAAAAGCTTTGTGTAGAGTTTTGTGTCCATTTTTTTAAATTAAAGATTAAGATGTTAGGTAAAACTTACTCTCTTGAGCCTACTTCCCTCCTTTAGAAATGATGTGCTCTGATAAGGATTAGAGCTAACTGATCTTTAAGATGCCAGTTTTGTACTCCATTTTGCAACTGCAATTATAGCCTAATTTAAGGTTATAACTCAGTTGGCCCAGAATAGGCTACAAAGGTCTTGTAGCTGCAACGTGAATCAACTGTTTGGAATCAGTTTTCAGGAGGAAACAGGATGGCTCATTTTCTTCTTGGCTCTCTGAAAGTGACCCCATGGCTATGGAGCTGATCTAGAGCAGGGAGTGAAGGGGGCAGGAAGCTGTTGACCAGTTGACTGTTTTGAAATCTGTTTCTGCCACAGCTTGGCAGGCTCTCCCTTTTGTTTTTTACTTACTCTTTTGTAGGCAAGTTTCTAAAAGCACAGCAGTGGCTGGGGTAAGTCAGTGTGGCATCCAGGAGGTTGGTAAATTTTTCCCTCGATGGCAGTTTTTTTAGAGAATAGGATGATGTGGCGATGAGTGTCTGGATGGACTCCAGCCCGTAGCTAGGCAAGGCTTGCAATTTGGTGGAAGAAATATCCCTGAAAAATAGAAGGGAGCAAGCCTTTTTGTTTATATATTTTATACATTTGATTCATAGGATGAAACCCCCTCCCAACAATAGTATTGTTCTAGGTTCTGAGGAATCTTTTCTCCATCTTATCTTTCCCCTAATTCTCCATTCGGTTACTCTCATTAAGATCAACAACAACAACAACAACAACAACAAAAACTATGCTGTGTTTTTCCCCTCATATGCACCCCATTATTCCTTTCAAAGTTGAGTGTAACTCCTTATATCTGCCATATGTTCGTTAGCATTTCTCTTCCTTCCCCCACATCCCTTTCTCCCTCTCTCCGTCCCGCTCCCTTTCTCCACTTAGCAGACATGAAATAGCTATTGCTTTATGAGACAGCAGGCACGTGCAGTGACAACAGCTATTGTGCTCTCTCTCAGGGGGAGATACTCAGAGCTTCAGATGCCTCCGTCTTTGACAGATCAAGCCCTGCAGGGTAGGTTTTCACTAAGCACAGGCCAGTTATACTATTAGGAGTTGCTGTATGGCCTTAGCCATCATCTACCTGGGAAGCAGACTGCATGTTCTCTAAAGGCAAACTGGATTCATCATCAGTCCAAAGCAAGCAAGCAATTGGGCATGCAAAGAGTACTGTGTGGAAACTTTAGTTTTTGTAAACAAGGTCCCAACTCTTTGGTTTTTCTAGACTTGAGGCAATATCTGAGAAAAATCCAAACAAGTTCAATGTGAGGAGGAAGATGAGTCAGTGGAAAATTTAAAATCCTGCCCATCTCCTAAGTGGTTGCTGCTGATGCCCCATGCAACTTTTCCAGCTGCACAGTCCCCTTCGGCAAATTGTCCCAGTGCTTAGTGCCCAGCACATGGAAGGGGATCAAGAGATGACCGATAGACAGATGAACTTGACAACATGGAGTGATGGCTAGTATAGGTCATTGGTGGACCAGTCAAGATGGCAGAATTTACCTCACAGGCTTCAGATTCCTGCTGCTTTTGTGTCCTTGTTGATTGAGGTAACCAGTGTTCTCATTCTGTTTTATGGACGTATCTTGGTTATGTTAGGGATAGAGCACACAACTCTTTGCAGGTGGGTTTTTTGTTTTGTGTGTGTGTGTACATGTGTGTGTATGTTTTGCTGGGGGGTTATTTTAGGATTTTAATACTTAGGATTTTAAATTAGGATATTTAGGATTTTAAATTAGGATTCTAGAAAAGGCAAGTTCTCATTATAAAGGAGTAAATCTCTGAAAATATATTTTCAGTCTCAGTGGAAGACCAGTGGGGGAAATGTTTCTGAGTTGTGGGTAGAAGGAGTGCTTCTAGACACCACTGACACCCTAAGGGTGTAATGAGAACTGCTGCTTGTGAAATAAGACTAGGTCTGGTCCGACTGTTCTGGACAAGACAGTGCAGGTGTCTCTATTGCTCACAGTCATTTCTAAGCAAGTGGACCAAGCAGCTCTTCAGGCAAAGACTATCAGGCAAGATGTCTTGTGACCACACTAACTTCATCATATACTTTGACCCAGAGGCCACTCTCTTTGGCTGGCTGTCCAGCGGCTGGGTCAGTAGCCAGCTTGCTCTAAGAGCTCTGCCTATAAGGTGTGCTAGACTACAGAGTCTCAACCAACCTGTATGATTGTGAGTCTGGTGTACAATGAATATGAGACTTACAAGGACCCTTGGGGTAGGGTGGCGGAAGCTGAGACGCAGCAGAGAAAGCAGTGGGCAGGAGTCACGAGGTAGTAAAAGCAAAAGTCATGAGGTTGAGTGGAGAGTAAAGAGAGCGTTAGGATTGAGAGTGGCAGAAGTTAGGAAGTTGAGAGGGTCAGGAATTTTAGTGGTGGGAATTAGGAAGTAAACAGAGTCAGGGGTTGATGATTGCAGGAATTAAGAAGAGTCAGAATGGATACCAGCAGGAGCTGGGGACTAGGTGAAGTCAACTGGACACAGTTCGAGGTTGACAGTAGTGGGGCTAGGAACTAGACTGGATTGGGGGTTGACAGTAATGGGGGCTAGAACTAAAGACAATGAGGGGTTGACAGCAGTGGGGGCTGGGAACTAGACACGGGGGTTGATAGTAGTGGGGGCTGGGAACTAGAGATGGGGGCTTGATAGTAGTGGGGTCAGGGAACTAGACACAGAAGGGTTGATAGTAGTGGGGGCTGGGAACTAGACACAGGAGGGTTGATAGTAGCGGGGGCTGGGAACTAGAGACAGTTGGGGTTGATAGCAGTGGGGGCTGGGAACTAGAGATAGGGGATTGATAGCAGTGGGGGCTGGGAACTAGAGATAGGGGGCTTGATAGCACTGGAGGTTGGGAAGTAGACACAGTCAGGAGGGTTGATAGTAGCGGGGGCTGGGAAATAGAGACAGTCGGGGGGTTGATAGCAGTGGGGGCTGGGAACTAGGCACAGTCAGGAGGGTTGATAGTAGTGGGGGCTGGGAACTAGAGATAGGGGGCTTGATAGCACTGGAGGCTGGGAACTAGACACAGGAGGGTTGATAGTAGCGGGGGCTGGGAAATAGAGACAGGGAGGTTGATAGTAGTGGGGGCTGGGAACTAGAGATAGGGGGGTTGATAGTGGGGGCTGGGAACTAGACACAGTCAGGAGGGTTGATAGTAGTGGGGGCTGGGAACTAGAGATAGGGGGCTTGATAGTAGTGGGGGCTGGGAACTAGACACAGGAGGGTTGATAGCAGTGGGGGCTGGGAACTAGGCACAGTCAGGGGGGTTGATAGCAGTGGGGGCTGGGAACTAGAGACAGGGTTTGATAGCAGGGGGTGCTGGGAACTAGAGACAGTCAGGGGGTTGATAGCAGTGGGGGCTGGGAACTAGGCACAGTCAGAAGTTGACAGTGGCAGGGTTGGAAGTAAAGTGGTTCTGCTGCTTGCACCCTCAGGGAGCCCGACAGAGCAGCTCAGCTCTGTCCGGACAAGTGCCAGGGCTAAGTCAGATCTTTGGCCTTTGCATGTCCATGGCTGGATGCCAGGCAGGCAGCCTCCCCTCTGTCAGCATGTGAGACAGCCCTGCACACTTGGTGTTATAGGTTGAATCGTGTCTCTCCCAAATTCAAATGTGGAAGTCTTAAGCCCCCAGTACCTCAGAATCTGACCTTATATGGACACGAGGTCTTCACAGAGGTAATCATGATAAAATGAGGTCATTAGGATGGATCCAGATCCAGTATGACTGGTGTCCTTATAAAAAGAGGGAAATTCAGAGACAGGCAGATCCACACAGAGAATGCCACGTGAAGGTGAGAGTTCTGTTGTCACAACCAGAAGGCACACCAAGCAGCAAGGAGGGAGGCCTGGAATAGATCCCGCCTTCACAGACCTCAGGAGGAATAAGCCTGCTGACACCTTGGGTTCAGACTTCTAGGCTCTAGAATGCAGTTTCCGTCACATTAGCCCTCCCAGTTTGCGTTATTGGTTGATGGCAGCCCTTTCACATGCAGAGGCTGAATCTCCACAAACCAGCCTGGGGACAGTGTGGCTGGACACCCTAAGCAGGCCTGGATGGGGAGGGAAGGCAGCACCCCTGTACTCACAAGATGCTGGGTCCCGTGGCCCCCCGGAAGGCTCCATTGTGCATCTTCTCCAGGTGTGCATTTTCCTTGAGCTCTCTGTGGGGAAGGAAGTGTCCTTAGCGGAGTTTGTACTGTCATGTGTTACCAGTCACAGTGGCACGGACACACGTTTGGAGCAGCCTGCCTGCGTGGTGCTCAGTGCTAGAGGGAAAGGGGGGACGGTAGGGAAAGCAGAAAAAGACATGCCAGTGGCGGGCAAACTGTCTAGTTGCTGGAGTGTGTGTCTGGCCCCACCTTTCCCCTGCAGTGTCCCCCTCACTAGGTAGAATGTGTTGTCCTACGGCTCAAAGCGCTCACCCCCTCCTGGCCTGGAGTTAGGACAGTTGGTCGCCGTGCAGCTGCGCCAGGATGAAACTGCTGCTCCAGCGTTCAAGGCTGAAGGGCTGAGGTGCGCCCTGCTCTGTGTCCTGCCCTCCGCCGCCCTGACCATGGAGGTTTCAGAGTTGGCTGATAGTCATCTACTGAAGTTTGCCAGTACTTTATTTGAAAAGAAAAAGTTGGGTCCACTCAAAGATAGCCCTTTCATCATGGGAATTGTACCTTTTTTTTTTTTTTTCGGGCATGCATTCTCTGTGGGTAGGAAAGGGGAGGAAGAACAGCCTGTGTAGAAAATTGCCCCACACCCTGCATGCCCCACATGGCGTCCTGTGCTGGGTATATGATTGTCGCCAGTATGCATGTTGTGGAAACAAAAGGGTTGAGGGCTACTGTAGTTAAAGCTGTGGCATAACCAAGTGCTGCTATGCAGTAGCTACCTGACGCTTCTGTTCCCTGGAGCTCCAAGCAGCTCAGGGTGAACTGCTCAGCATCAGCTAGCTCAGCCTGGCTCTGCCGAGCGGCCTCCTGTCTGGGCCCTGACGCTGGGGTCTCCAAGCCCGGGCCCTGACGCTGGGGTCTGCAAGCCCAGGCCCCTCTCTGGGTGGACGAGAGAGCAGGGAGAAGAGTTCCTGGGCTCAGGCTTGCTGGCCTTCTTTTGAGCACTTTCATTCTGTAAGAGAAGAGTGGTGCCTCAAAGAGCCTTCTGGAACATGCCTCCATTGTTGGTGTGGTGATTTCAAGCATGAGAGCATGATTCTTCTGCATCACCATTACAGTGTTGGATAGCAGAACAAATAGACCGACACCTGCTCTCCCCTCCCCTGCAGGATGCTTAGGTATCGTGGCTTGTCTCAGAGCTCTACATCTTCTTCGTTGTCTTTCTGCATGTCTCCACATCACGGCTGCCATTTAAAAACTACAAAACCCCCTGTATCTTGCTCCCTGGGCGGCTGTTTTCCACATGCTTCTACTAAGCGTTTTCCTTGGAAATCCTCAGCTCTTCCATCAGAAGGTACCCATCAGTCTCATACAGTTCCATCCCCTGGGTATATTTCCACTTTCAAAGAGATGAGGTTGTCAGAGTCAATTGCTGTTTAAAATCTAAATCAAAAGAAAATTTCTTTCCCAAACCTCCATGGCTCTTCTTCCTGATTTGGTTTGTTTTAATTATGTTCTGTTATGGTCATAAATCATTGAAACGGGGCTCTGTGAGCAAATAATCCTCATGTCAGCCAGGTCAAATTAATTGTTCAAATTTCATGACAGAGCATTTCACATGTTTTATTAAAACTCAGATCTTTCCATGTACTGATAATTCTGCATCATGTAACTCAGTTAAAAATAAATTTGTCTACCACGTTTTCCTGGGGGTCACTTTCATGTTCCCAAGTGACACAGCCCTCCAGATATGAGAAGCACAGGCAGGATAACCTCTTGAAGCACAGTGGGAGAACCTCCAAACTCCACCCAAAACGTTCATAAGTGGGGTGCTTTGGGAATGGTAGGGACTGACTCTCAGAACCCTGGAGGTGTCTGAGGGCAACCCTCTGGTGCTGCTTCTCTCCACCCTGTCTTGCCTTAATAAATAGGAAGTTTGAGAACTTTGCAGGGCCTTGGTGTCATCATTCTGAACAACTTTGAACAGGCCCATGTATGAGGAAGGTGTCAGAAACTGGGTTGAATGTATAGTTTGAAAATTTTGCTTGGCCGTTTTAAAACCTACCTCCCCTTCCCTGCTTCGATCCTTCAATGGGCCTCCGTGCCCGTGGAAGAGAATTCAGACTCTTTTCCATTGCCTCTGAGTTCTGCATGATTTGTTCCTGCTCCATGTCCAGGTTTGTCTCATACCCATTTCCCCTTGCTGATGACCCTCTAGCCACACTGTCCTCCTCTCGATTCTTGGAGCTTACAACTTCTTTTCTTTGCACATCCTACTTCCTCTTCCTGTGATGTACTTCCCCTCATTATTGCCATGGTTGACTCTTTGTCATCCTCTAGGCTCAGCCTAAATTTCATGTCCATGGTGAAGTTATCCCTGGGCACCTAACCTAAAGTCAGTCAGGCCCTGTACTCTCGCAGATCTCAGTAATGGATTATTTCCTTCATAGGATATATCCCTATCTGCAATAACTTCATTTATTTACTTGTCTTTTTGTCTGTGTCTTCTGCTAGAAGAGAAACTTCATGAGGGCAGGGACTCTTTCCACTCTGCCATCTCAGACCCAGCTCCTAATGTGGTGCCTAATATATTGGTGATTCTTAATAAATGTTATTGGATAAATAAATGAATGAAATTGATTTGTATTCTTGGCAAACTGATTTGTGTTCTTGGCTTCCTCTTTCTTGCAACAGTGAGGTATGGAAGATACAGAATCTTGACTAGTTGGACTTTTTGAAGTTCACACTCATTTAGGCATCATTGAAGCAGCTGGGACACTGCTGACCAAGGCCCTCTTTCCCAAAGTCCTGTTGTCCCTGACCTCCTGAAGATGTCCTCTGCTGGTGTCCCTCCCACTCTGTTTGCTTTTGCTCTGGCTTCTCCTTTCTTGTTGTCCCCTAATTTTATATTCAGTTCTCTTAGCTCCCCGCCTCGTCCAGGTGACCTCAGCCACGAAGGCCTTCAGTCACCCCCTGTATTCAGAGAGCCGGTGTCTGTCGCTAGCCCTGCACCCCCACCCCCAACTTCTGTCCTTTCTGCTAGCAGATGAACCTTCTTTAAGTGTCCCTCACACTTCGCATCCCAGAACTTTCAACACCTTCTCATTTTCTACAGAAGAGAGTCCAAATTCTTTACTCTGGCACCTGAGGCCCTTCCTGCTTTGTCCCTAACTCACACCTAGAACTTTCTAAAAGGTACTGTGTCCTGTTCTGTGAACACATGCTTCCTCCTCTGGGCCATTCTCTTTGTCGTCCTCTGCTTGGAATGCATTTTCCTTCTCTCTTTGCCTCTCTGACTTAGGCCCAGCTCAAAGTCTATGTCTCTCATGAGACTTTCTCTAATTTTCTTCTCTTCTGCCTTTGAAATCCCAGAGGACTTTACTTCTCTCAGGGGAGGCATCATGCTTTGCCTTCTGTTTTAGTTACTACTTAGTGTACAGTTTATATACCATTTGGCGATGCTTCTTCCTAGGCTCTAAGCTCCTGTGGGGCAAACACTGGGGCTTATTCATCTTCATTTCCACCCCAGATATAGCATGTTCCTCAAACACAGCTGATGCTTGGCAGACCCTTGATGAGTGAATGAGGCATCTGAAAGTACTGTGCCAGGAGAGGATATGATTTGATTTTTGGCAGAAACAGATTCAATTGGCTAGAGTGAACTCTTCGTTAAATTCAAGTCAACAAGAAAATGAAGGAAAATTTACTCCATGAGTTCAAGGTACCATTTCTTGAGCACTTGGTATGTGCCAGACTCAGGCTAAGATTATAAAAATATAATCTTATTTATCATTCATTCATTCATTTGTAGTTAATGAACTGTGCAGTGTGATAAATAATAAATGAGCACATACTCTGTGCGAGGCACTGTGTTAAGTACTGAGGATTCAAAACAGACCTTTTCATTTTTGGTGAGGATATCCTCATAAACAAGCCCATTAGCGGCTCTATTTTATGGCTGAGAACACTGTGGCTGGGATAGGTTAAGTCACTTGCGCAAGATCAAGCTGATAAATACTGGCATTGGAGTTTGAAGCCCAATTGGTGACTCTTAGCTCTGTTCTCTTCGTCACCAAGCTCTGTAGCACGGTATGGATATAATAGAGTCTTTGGTTAATATGTATAGTTAAATAGTCTATTGTATAGACATGCTACTCAACTTGAGACTGGCAACGTCAGCATCTCCTGGGGGCTTGTTATAATTACAAATTCTCAAGCCCTACCCTAGACCCACTGAAGCAAAGTCTCTGGGGGTGGGGCCTAGGAATCTGTGTTTTAACAATCTCCATGTTATTCTATGTGTGTTAAAGTCTGAGAAGCCCTGGTATGGACTGTGGTTTATACAATTTATTATAAAAGCCTTTTCTTAATCTTGGCTTCAGTTGTGCTTTTCAGGTGCTCTTAGTTTTTATTATACCCAACTGTAGGGTGATTGTCACCTCACTCTGTACGTGTTATGGTTCCAGTGGCCCCAGCCCAGCAGGTTTAGTGAATGAGCCACTCTTTTAGAAAAGGAACCATTGAAGGAAAGAGAGGTGGGGAACAATGAAGGAAGCAGTTGGTAGGGATGCTCTCCTTGAGTCAAAGGCTGTGAACCCTGGGGACCAGGGTAGGATATGGGGAAAGCACCAGGCCCCCTCACTCTGTGAAAAATGTGCTCCATAATCCCCCCTAACAGTAGGGGGATGGGACCACGAGTGGGCCTGTTGTGGCTGATTGGGCTGGTACCTGGGGTTACCCGATTTCTCTGCGTTGGGGCTGGGGGAAGAATTTCTTCACTGAAATCGTGCTGCTTCTAACACACCATCAACCTGAGTGAGGGGGCTCGAGAGGGAGGCTGAGAGATGAGACTAAAGTAGGGTGTTGAATATTTTAGCAAACTGTCAACTTTAATGTCTCCAGGCTGCATCTATCTTTGAAATCAGGTGCTCTGGGGTTTCTAGCCAGCCAGTTGCCTAGTAACATGAGTGAAACACTGAGGACTAACCACTTGAAAGTTTATTTTTGTCCTGCGTTAGTTGCTAAAGATTGAATGTGATCTGGTAGCTAGAGTAATACTTCATTTTTATTCATGAGCTGGGGAAATAAGCACATACTTACAGGGAAATCAGCGTTGTCCCATTGAAGGCATGACTTTGTATTTCTTCAAACCCATTTCCATATAGTTTGCTGAAGTGAGAGGAGAGAGGATTTAGCAGTGAAAGAGGCACATTTTGGAATCACACATTCTTCCTTCTGTGACATTTATTACTAAGATAATTACTGGCATTCACAATATCTAGCTCTGTTTCTCTAACGTTTTGGATTCTAAGGACCTGATGAGATGGAGCTGGTTTTTTTTTTTTCTTCTTTCTATTCTAGTTTGGCTTCACTTCGACCAGTGGCATCACCACCAATTTGTTTGATTATTAAGTGTTTATTAAGTGCCAGGCACTTGATCAGTCATTCTACATGTATTTTGTGACTTAATCCTCATTGTCATTTCCATTATGCTGATGAGAAATCTAAGTCTCAGTGTTGTTGTGTTGCCTGTGCTTTCTGGGTGGCTGAAAGTGCAGGGCAGAGGAAGACTCCAGTACTGAGTTAGCTTTTCTTTTCCTTGGATGAGTATGTGTTTTTGCTAATGCCGTATTTGGCTCCATACCAAGAAGATTTCAATGCCTGTAAATGGTTCTTTAAGACCAATTAGTGGATAGGGAAATCAGTTTAGTTGGGTGCAATCAGAATTTAGCAAAATGAAATAGAACAGAATAAGACAAAATGGAAAATATTGAAGTGTTTTTCATGTAATTAGGGTAGTATCTTTTATGGGATTTTGTTCCACCATTTTTCTGTGTTATGTACATAAAAGTGTACATACACATATATAGATAATACATATACATCTGCCCAGAATAAGACATAAGAGGGTCCCCAAGACAGATGTTGGGAAATGTTGAAGCCAGGAACGAGCTTGGAGAGGATCAAGTGGCACACCTTCATTTTACAAAGAAGGGAAGAGGCTCAGAAAGGAAAGTGACTTGTCTAAAGCCCAGCATAGGCAGAAATGGGACCAGAACATACTTTGTCTTGGGCTATTTCCAGTATATCCGTTTCACTTGGTTGTTTTCACTTTTCTTCCCTGAGATATCCACATGGCTCCTCTTCCTCCTCCTGCAGGGCTGTGCTTGATGTCACGTTCTTGGTGCGGCCTTTCCTGGCTGCCCATTTAAACTCCCATCCTCCCTTCCCCCAGCATTCCCACTTGGATTTGTGTTTCCTCTGTGGCTTTATCAGCATCTGACCTGTGATTATATCATACTCGTTCATCATCTGCCTTCCCCGGCAGAATGTAAGCTTCAGGAGAGCAAGGATTTCAAACTGTTCTGTTTCTTACAGAATCCCCTGCATCTGGAACAGTGCCTGGCATTTGGGAGGATTACAGTAAATATATGTTAAATGAATTGGATGAACAAATGGGTATATGTAAGATGAATTTCTTACTATAAATCATAGTTAACCAAGCAAGATTGAAAGTCATAGTCTTAGAAATATTTGTGTAAGTTCTTCATGAACCATGATATAATGTGAGAAAGGGCTATGGTATAACATAAAATTAAGCTCCAGCACCTGGAAAGACCCTAGCTTCCCTTTACAGGGTTGCTGGTAGTTGCATGGCCATGTAGGGATGGGCTGGTGTGTGCGACTTAAGAAACAGTTTAGACACCTTCCCCAGCTGTTCCTGTTCCAGGTGGCTGTTGTCTGCAAGGGTTCTCTAGACTTTGTTAAATAAAACAAGCATGGAATTGTGTCTTGTGGTGTATGTGTAGGTGTGTAGTGTGTATGTGTGTGGGGGGTCTCTTTCCATCAATCCATAGCACACCTGAGACAAACCAGTGTATAGATAAATCTAAGCAGGACTCAGGGTTGAAGCATGTTATTTGAACACTGGCATTCAGAAAATAGAGATTACAAAATAATCCATAAAACCTTATTAATTTGGGTTCAGAGCGACCTCATTTTGTAAAACCCCTGGGTCTCTCATGATGCTTGCTACCTGACAGGAGCCCAGCCTTGCCCTTCCATGTGAGGAACAGGCTTCTCTGTCTTCTCATGCTCTCCTGTGCTTTCTTCTGGAATTTTGAATTTACAACTTCACCTATGAGCTCTTAACTGTATTCTGTAATGGATTCTTGGGTGCCATTTTTCACTAGTTTTCTAGAATTTGAGGGGATAATTACTTGGTTTATCTCTGTTGTCTTGTGTAATTACGCACAACCTTCTTGTCTCCTTAGCAGCTCAAAAATAGAATTCTTTTTTTTAAAGCATTTTCTAAAAAGATTTTTTATTTATCCATTTGAGACTCAGAGATACAGAGAGAGAAAAGCATGAGGAGGGGGAGAGGCAGAGGGCGAGGGAGAAGCAGGCTCCCTGCTGAGCCAGGAGCCCGATGTGGGGCTCGATTCCAGGACCCTGAGATCATGACCTGAGCCGAAGGCAGACGCCTAACCATCTGGGCCACCCAGGCACCCCTAGAATTCTTTTTTTAATTTTACATTTAGACTATTATTCTTTGCCAGTCCCTTGTCATTTGGGGGTTTGAATTCCTTTAAAGCAATCTCTTGTAGATGAAGGAATCATATTGGACTTTTCTTTGAACTTCTTTGAAATTGGATTTCTTAGAGTCTCGGCCAGAGTTTGTCAAAGCATTCCCCTTCATCCACTGACTCAGAATCAACTGGAGCTGCTTGCTGGAAATGCAGACTCAAACCCACTGAGCAGGTGCCCTGCAGAGCTATGGAATCAGATGTGGTAGTGTTGTTCAGGAATATGCACTTTTATAACAAGCTCTCCCAGTGAGCTTGGGCATGCCAGCTTGGGGCCCCTTGCCCTAAGGTACAGCATGGGATGATATAGCTTTCATCATTTCCATATGCAGATCAGATGGTCTGCTGGATAGAACTTAGTCCAGAGTCTGATTCCCTTACTGCTTTCCCTACCTGGTAAGCGATGGAGTTACATGCATAGTGAATTAAGACAAAGTAGCTCCCACTCTGTTTTGAGCAAAGCAAAGCTGCCAGCACTTGTCTGGATGCCCATTCCCCATCATCCTTATGTGCTGTCCTGATCCTAGTTTTGATACATATTAGGATTTTATACTTTTCTTTCTTTTTTTTTTTTTTTTAGAGGGGCTTACAATGCCATTGCTCTAAGTGCAGCTTCCTGGTTAAATTTGCAAGTCTTCAACCCAACTGCTCGCTACTTATTAGCTGAGTTACTTCAGGCAGTTACTTAACCTCTTTGTGTGTTAATTTCCTAATCTGAAAATAGGGGTGATGATAATAGTATTGACCTCAAAAGGCTATTGGGTGGATTAAAATGCTAAACATATGTGAAGCACTTAGAAATAAGTCCTGGAACACAGTAAATGCTTAATGTGTTGCCATTACTATTATTATTATTATTATTATTATTATTTTATAATATTTTGTAGTAGCTCCATCTCTCTGACCAGAATAGAGGGAAAGGGTCTCCCTTGCCATGCTCTGGATAGGAGTTCCATGAAATGTAGCAGTCTGTTTAATTGAACTGTTGTCCCCTGGGGTAGGGGGTCTTCCTCTTCTTGGTGGAGCAGGTCAGTTCGGTGGCCTGGGCTGCCTCAGATGTACTCACTCTCCAGAGGCCCGCAAACATCTTTGGTCTGTGTCAGCATCATTGACATGCTTGTATTGGGACATTTTTCAGGTCTTTTTAAAAAAAATAGTTTGGGTCTATTTGTCCTGACTTTCCAAAGAATGGGGCTCACTGTTTCCTTTTCAGCTGTTTCTCTTCAGCTTTGTTCTTACCAGTTGCACACGATAGAATGTGTGGCTTTGTTTTGATTAAAACTGGCTTCCTTACTTTGGGGAAGTTACGAATGTGAGTGGGAGGCCTCCTGTCAGGCCCATACAGTGCTTTAAAATGCCCCTTAAAACATCTGGAGAGTCACTTCAGATAACTTTTTTCCCAAAACATCATGGTGTCAGAATTAAATGAGGATGGCTCCCTTTGCCTTGAGGATGCTGTCACAAGCACAGAAATAATCCCCCCCCCAACCTCCTGTATTACAATAGCTGCACCTTACTTTAAAGCATTGTCTATGTTCTCTATTCAAATGTCAGTAATTGTGATTCAAAAAGAGAGAATGTCACCTTTTTATTCAAAATAAGGTTCAGGCTTTAGAACTTAATCACAGATGAGACTCTCATTCTGAATGCTGCCTTGAAACAACTCCAAATATTCCTGGGGCTCTAAAGGCATCTCTGGGATTATATTAACAGTATTAGATGATCTACCATGGTTCCTTTTTGGATCATGTAACCATCTAGTTTTTGGATGATTTTAAAGAAGAAAACTTAATATGTGTTTGCAGATTTGCAGGGTCTCAAAAAGTGGCCTCAGGGTTTCTATTTTAGAAAATATGTCCCATGGTGATATATCTATAAGCAAATTTTTATCAAATGACTATACAGATACCTACCTAAAGAACAGGGATCCTAAATTCATCACGTTCTTCTCCGGTGGTATTTTGCTGGAGTCCTTTTATACCTGAATAATTTCTGTGTATGAAGTGTATGAAGACACTTCTTGAGTGGATGCCTTGGCCATGGTTGTATGGATAACTTGTCACCAGTTCACTGTCACCTGGCTGGTCTCTATATGCTGCCGTGACCCTAGTTTTAAATGTTCATCAGAATTCCCCCATTTCTGTGGGGCTCACAGACTCAATGGCAAGGAAATCCTTTCTCTGATGTGGGCATACCTCCTGACTTTCAGCAGCACTGAGTTGTTATGTTTTCCTTCAAGTTTCCCTCAGCCAAGTTCATGTCATCTTATATGACTTTACCATATGTAATAACAAAAAGATGTCAGGCATCCAAAAGAATGATTACAGCAATGGATTATAATATATTGAATAAAATTTTTAAAAAAATCTACTTCTACAGTGATACTTAAAAAGAGAGATCGAGAGAGAAGGAGAGGATTCTTTTTTTTTTTACAGAAGAGTGCTGGTAATAAATGTAGAAGAATGATGAAATTTAAAACTTCCATTTTGTAACTCCCTGCATAATAACCGAATAATTATTTGATGCTGAAACCGTTAGCTGAAAAGTTGTTGGCCAATGGGCTAGTTGTACCAACTCAAAGTATCCCACTATCGCTTATTATTAATGACAAAGGGAAAAATGTGCCCTTACAAGGAAGATGTCTGACAGTCACACTTTAACCAAATGGCCAAGGGGCATGGCATGATGTGCCTTCTGGTTTGATGAACTGGGAGAGACACAGCATGCCCTCTGCAGTGTTCTTGTAGAAATGTTGACCTGAATCTAATCCTGATAATATAGTCAGATGAATCCAGACAACTGGCCTGGGCTCCTTCAAGGAATTGGTGTCATACAGAACAGAGGAAAGTGGGGGAGCAGATCTTCGTGGGTGGGGTAGGAGGTAAGGTTGGGAGCACTAAGGGACATAGTAGTGAAAATGCAGTGCATAAAATTTTGATTGGATTCTGAGTCAAAAAAAATTCTATAAAAGACATTTTCATTGGAATGGGGACTGTAGACTGGACAATGTCATTAAATTCATGTTTTGTTTTTGTTTTTGTTTTTTGGGGGTGTGTGTGTATAATGGTGTAGTTACATAGAATGTCCCTGTTTTGGGGAGTTACATGCTGAAGTATTTAAGGTATGAAGTGTCATAATATCTATAAACTTTTTTTGGATGGTTCGGCCAAAAAGAAATATGTTGTATATACTTACACATATAGAGATGGGGTGGGTGTAGCAAGCTGCTAATAGTTGGTAAATTTAGGTAAGTTGTATAGGGGTGTTATTGGAAAGACAAGTGGAAAGTGACTCCACTTGTCCACTGAAAATTTTAAAATAAAAGATATTTAAAAAGAGATGATGAGACATGGTGTTTTCAGGATGGTCTAAAACAACTGGCTTGCTGAATATTAGCTTTTAATCATGGTGGTGCCATGTAGTTGACACGACGTGGTTGAATTTGTACAAGTATTTATAATCCCATTGGATACACAGAGGCAGAGGCATGTCTGGGTGGTATAACTTGACTAGAGGTCATTAGACACAGGGCCAGGATTAGAACCCAGGCTTTCTGTTTCAACACCCAGCAGTCTTCTTCATTGTGGCTTATCACAGGTGCAGCCTGGAAGCTTGCCATCCTTTGCCAGGCATTCTTTCTCTGAGAATTAGTTGTCACGACCTTTCCTTCTCTTTGTGGAGTTCAGACATGAATCAAAGTTGTCTCTTTTTTTGAGACTGGTATGACCAGTCATCTAGAATATTTTAAAGGTGGTGCAGCCACATCCTGCTTGCTCAGGGGGTACATTTCAAGGTAGCCTCTTGAGGAGATTTAATGAAAAGCCAAAGTGGCTATAAGGGACTTAAGAGTATAATGCATAGTTCTAGCATTAACCCCACTGAGCTTCTCCAGCATCAAGTGAAGTGTTTTGTTTTCATTAAATGAGCTCACAGTTGGTAAAGATTTGGGTGGGGGGAGGGCAGGAAAGGTTCCACAAAAAGCAAAATCTCCAATACTACTAATAATGAAGAGAGAAGGCTCCTAATTAGGAAGTTGAACTTTACAGCTGAGAAAATAAAGCTTTCCTCTTTAACTATAATACTTTTTTTCCAACAGGGTGCTCCACAGGATCCTTCGCTTACAGAAGGGCCCATTCAGCTGAGAACAAGTGCCAAGCAAATGACTAATCACTCCCCCTCCAGATGAAGGGCTGAGAGTGAGGAGGGGGATGGAAGTCCAATGCCCCCTGGGCCCACTAGGAAAGATGAATCTGCAATCCTCATTAACTTCAGATGTGGGGCAATTATGCCCTGCTGGTAGGCACTATTCTTCTTAAAATCATAACTAACATAAGTTAATGGCCCCATAATAAAAATACTGTGCAGCTCTCATGTGCACATGCTGAAATGTGATGTGTGAAAGGAATCTTTTGTTGTTCCTTGAGTTTGGTGGGTTGGTCCAGTCTTGGTTGCTCACGAGGGCCCTGTGATCATCCCAACACTCATTTTCTTGTTGACTGTTCTCCATATCTTCTGTCCTTTCATTCATTCCATTTCCACTTCATTCTTATGGCTGTACATTTACCTGGGACAAGTACCATTTGGGTCCCGATTATTTTTAGATTTAGGTCAAAATCAAAGGAAGTCTTGGCTATTTGTGATCTTTGAATAAAGGCTACTCTATTGGGTGGTTTCTTCTTATTACTTTTGTCAGTTACGTCTAAGCTTTTAATCCTTTATCCCAGCATTCAAGACTCAGCAATCCAATGTCCCTTCTACCTCTGCCATTTATCTAAACCTATTTCCTGTTTCTTAAGCTGGGTGTGTACTCCCCGATAAGTAAGACATATCCTGTTGTCCTCTTTCCCACAGCCATACTTTTGCTCATGATGTCCCCTCACTTAGACTACTCGCTCCCCTTTTCTTGGCATGTGGTACCACATAATGGTTAAGACTGTGATTCTGGAGCCAGATGGAGTTTAAATCCTGACCCTGGGCAAATTACTTAACCCCGTAGTGCCTTGGTTTCCTCATCTAAAAATGGGGCTGATAGTCCCTACCTCATAGGGTTGCTGTGAGATGTAAACAAGTTTTTAAAAAGTAGTTAAAAATAGTGCAGGCATTTACTAAGTGCTGTAGAAATATTAGCTGCTATTATCACATTTACCCATACCAATGTTACTGATACTATGAGGTCTAACTCAAGTCTCAGCTCCACCGTGCAGCCTCCTCTGACTTCTCCAGCCCAAGAGGACTTCTCTAAGACTTCTCATTTCTGTGTAACACAAACTCTCACAGTGAATATCTACTGGTTTGTATTATTCTTTCATTATTTCATGTTTGCCCGCATAATTTCTCTATTTCCTCATAATTGAGATTCTGAACTCCTTGGGGATATGGATCATATGTCTTTTGTGTTCTCACTAAAGAATCCTAAGGTATGTGGTACCTCCCCATGCAGTCTTTGCCCTGTTTCTGACGGGGTGTGATAAATGAGTAGTTCTAGATACATGCAACGGTGAGTTGGAAATACTTTATAAAATACAGCTGGAAGAGCTTTAGTATGTAAGGGAAGTAGAGGAGCAGAAAGACTGTAGAGAAGATTTTCTAGGATCTCCTTTATCTTTCCTGGTGTTTAAGAGCTGCAAGTAAAGAATTTATCTCGGAAAAAAAATTTTTTTTTGGTTGCTGCTCTGGATTCCCTTGATCGCAATACTCTGAGCTGGGTCTGCATGGGCTACAGTTTTGTAACATGACAATTAAATGTGTGGAATTATACCTACACAGAGTAAAAAGTACTATTCAAATGCAATGTACATTGATACCAATATTTAAAATCCATGATAGAAAAGAGAGTCCTCTGAGATGGTCTCTTCTCTTGCTTCACAACTATCTCCTCATTTTGGGGTCATTCAGTGTGTGCTCTCTCTTTCTTTAAGGGCAAGCTCATTTATTGACTCATTACAACCCTGCCATGGGCTGTAGCCAAAGTAGAAAGAGTGAGAGGGATATGGATGTGGGGAAAAGAATTGAGTATAGGTCATTGGACTTCGGATACAAGTGAGACATGGTGCCCAGAACACTCCTTCTGAATGGTGGGGCAAAGGCAGGTGCTCCATGTGCAGACGGCAGGGACCCAAGAGGGAAGGAAGTCAGGTAGATGAATGGTGAAGAGAGTAGGTTGGGTTATCTTAGTACAGTTCCCTGTGAACTTTATGTGCATGTGAATCACTTGGGAACTTGCAGATTCTGAGTCAGTAGTTCTGAGTCCCAAGAGTCTGCATGTCTAACCAGCTCTTAGAAGATACAGTAGATGCTGGTCCATGGACCATACTTTGAATAGCAAGGCCTTAGGAAAGAGCATAAAAGGGGTAGGGCCTGTGAGCCTGGTAACCTGATGAGTGATTGTCAAATAAAAAGACACTATTTTCAAGTATTAAGGGAGGTAGGGAATGGGCATAGATGGTGCTCTTCAGAAGCAAAGTAAAAAATCAGAGAGAGTAAGCGAGTGAATGCAGGCTCTACCGATCAACTATTCTACCTACTTGGAGAATATCTTTCCAGACTTCTCATTTGAAACTTGAAATTTCTGTGCTCTTTGAACCAGGGCAGCCATTTCCCTCCTGGCTGTCTCTTCCCAGCTTCAAAGTGTTCCACTGATGCAGTGAACAATTTCATCAGTTGGAAATTTGGTCCCTGTCAATTCTCAGGGCCCGTCTGGTTAATTTTAAACCGAATGGGTCAGTTGGTGGTTGTGTGAACACATGACACAGCTGCAATCCCACACAACTGCTCTCACCGTAGCGTTTTAGGTCATAAAGAATGTTACCAGTGAATGAAGAACGTGGTAAAAGATAAGAGCTCACCTCAAGCAAGAAGCAAGAATAGCAGGAGCCTGAATGGCAGAACATGAATCTGGGATTTTACTCACAGTGTTATGGATTCGTTATTCATCCCTTGAAAAGCATTTCCTGGTATGGTGGTTATGTGTAAGTTATCACAAATTTCCCTGGAGGAATAAAATGAGAAATATTTACTTTCCAAATTTTAGCTGCAAATAGGAAACTGTTACGCATAGCAATCAGCCTGGTACTTACAGAATGAAATTAAATTCAGAGGAGAAGATCTTCGTAACATCTGGAAGCTTTTGGATGCCTGTGTTACAGATGCTTCTGTGATTTGGGGCAGGGTGGGGATGTGGACAGGGAGTGAGTAAAAGTGATTGTTATTAAGGCATAAAGATAAACGCAATAGAAAGGCACTTTGCGAAGACTGTCTTCACATTTAAAAAAATACTGAGTTTGGCTTTTTTGGTAGCACTTTTAGCTGTTGAAGATTGTCAGAATTTTAAAGCCCCTAACACTATGGAAGAAGTTGCTCTAAAGATGCCTGTTTAAAGATCTAGGGGCCGGGACTAAACTTTCAGGTCTTTTTCATTATATTTATGTTTCCAGCCTGTCTTTTCCTATTGTATCAATTGCGTTTTTTCTGTTGTATTCTATCCTATTCCTTTTTAGTAATTTGCTCTTGATAGTTCTAGATGGCATCCCTCTACTTTGGAATAGGTTTCAACTCAAACACTTTAGGAATATTAATCTCCGTATGAGAAATCCATATCCCTCATTATTATTATTATTTTTAAAGATTTTATTTATATATTTGACAGAGCGACACGGCTAGAGAGGGAACACAAGCAGGGGGAGTGGGAGAGGGAAAAGCAGGCTTCCTGCTGAGCAGGGAGCCCGATGTGGGGCTCGATACCAGGACCCTGGGATCATGACCTGAGCCGAAGGCAGACGCTTAACGACTGAGCCACCCAGGCCCCCATGTCCCTCATTATTAAAAATCTTTCTTTCTTTAGCTACCTTGTGGTTCAGGAAGTTCTTCCTTATAACTTACTGAAATCATTGAACATGCTTTTCCTTATTGGAGCTACTCAGGTCTCTTCTTCCTCCCACCTTTTATTTAAGCTTCAAAGAAGAGAGAAGCTTCAGTGATAGGTTAAATTGAAAGATATTTTATTACACAAGAATGGGACTCCTTTAGAGGAGTCCAGGCATCTGGATTTTCCCTAGCCAAGTTTTAAATTCACCTATGCAGGACTGCAGAAACTGACATGAACTTCCTCACATTCTGGTGACAACAGAAGGAAGCCAGGGTTCTCCCCTGGTTCTGATGCTCCTTCTTACCTGTAACCCCAGATCCCACTGAATCCTTCCCCTCTCTGTGGCTGGTGATGGCACTGTAACTTTGACAGCAATGTGTATTGGGGTTGGGGGATGATCACTTGTTTGGGGGGTGAAAATGTTATTTAATAGAGACAATGATTCTTAGATAACAAGGGACTATAATGGTCAAATTTGGTTCTGGGATTTTCGTATGTTTTTCTTTTTTTTTATATTTTTTGAAAGTGGTTGACACTGCAGATGCTTATGCTTATGTCCTACACAGCCTCGGAGGCCTGGAAAAGCAAAACACCTGGACTAGGAGGCGTTCAGTGTTAGAGCTGCCAAAGGAGCTACGCTTGGGCCAGCAGCAGCTCCTGTAGGAGGCCCCAGGGCAAGGCTGTACAGATGACGCCAAACACCACACCCAGACAGATGTCCTCCTGTCCCTCTCCTTTTTTTTTTTTTTTTTTTTGAAGTGGTAGGGTTTGTGGACTTCCACCCTCTGGAGATTTTATGAAATTTAACTTATCAGGAAGAAGAGAGGATGTCTGTGTTAGAGGGATTTAAATTTTTCTGTGTGAGTGACTCCTTGACCTGTAAGAAGATCCATAGTGATCAGTTTATAGATTGTATCAAGTTTCACGAATTTTGGTTTTGCTGGCAAGGCAATGAATCTGCTGGGTTACCGTGGGTACTCAACTTATAATTCTAACTAGTAGACTTAATAAGATTTAATGGGAAATAGAAAACAGTGATTTAGTTTATATGGCCCAGTGCCTACCTCAAGGCAATACTTAAAAAGTTTTCACTTAATGCATAAAGGAACAAATGAGATGAAGGAAATCAGTAATTCTTAACCAGGGATGGGTGTTGAATCAGAATTGCCTCTCCTACTTTCACCTGGGCTCTGTCTGTATCACCACCTCACCTTAGAGATTTCGATTTACCCTTTTTCAAGTGTCATGACCCCCCTCTCCCCATTCCCACTGTCAGTTTTGAAAATCCTTGCAAAGGGGGTGATATTCTTCTCATGTGCTTTCTGGAGAGTGAAAATGTTGGGAGCCAGTTACACGGATTCTGAAAGCACCCAGCCTCATGGCTGACAAGAAATGCTGATTAAATTTTAATCAGAATGCTGAAGACAGATGTGCAAATAATGCTAAATATATAGTTAAAAAATTCTTCCCAACATTTTAATTGTTTTGATTTTCATCAGATACCCAATTTCCCTCCCCAGTTGCTCAAAAAGGAAAAATCCTCACAGGTATTTTAACCGGGGGAGATTTCTAAATGCTCCAGGCTCGATGTACACCAGGTTTTTGGTGTTCTGGATCAGTCTGTAAAGAGAGAAGGAGCAGTTTAAGAAATGTGTATTGTTTGGAATGTACAAGACCATCATTACCAGAGGATGCTGGCTGAAAATGGCATCAACAAAAATCAAGGGACTTCGTATGCTGGAGGGGAGCTCTTGAGAACCTGGGGATAAAAACTGCATGGTGAAAGCCAGTTGGCTCTTGCCAGGAAGCTCTGCTCTCAACCTCTTGCTGAGGCAGGTATAAACATCATAGCTGGGAATCTGTTCCATCCCACTCGGTGAGGCAGCACCAACTTCCAGGATTCCCGGCTCTCACCATGGAGCCTACACACTGGGGGTGATGGGAGATTCCACTCCCAGGGTAGATGAACAAATTGGCTACTCTCCCTTATAGGCAAACTGGTCTTCTTCATACTCGGCTGGCAGCCACACTGACCAATGATCCAGACAGGCACTCAGTCTTTGGATCAGTCCGGGGGCTTGGATTTGGGGGGATTTATGCCCATTGTTATAATTTGTTGTGTGATGATGTGCAGCCTCCTAACTTCCCTGAGCTAGTGTGACCTTCTATAATTTTGGAATAATAATATGCACTCTTTCTACCTCATAGGTTGGTATGTAGTGAGTAATAGAATAGGTAGAGATTAGAGATAATGTCGGAGGCAGGGCTCTGTATAGTAATAAAAGTACAGCTATGACTCCACAGTGGTGTGATTGCCCTTCTCCCTACTTTTCCAGGGACTTTGACCCTTTGAGAAGTAGCCAGAGTTGCCTGTCTACTTTGGATTCAATAAAAGGCCAGCAAATGCCTTTGACTCTCTTACCCCATGCCACAACTACCTGAAGAAATGATAGTTACTCTTGTTCTAGAGAGAAAATATAGTGTATTGGTAAGTTGGAGGGGCTCTGCAGTCAGTTTGGTTTTACTAATTGTATGACCTTGGATACATCATTTAAAGCTCTGTTTCTTCATAGGGTAGTTTTTGAGAAGTAAAAGTGTGTTTCTGGCTCATAGTAAGGCTTCAACCAGTGTTAACAATTATTATCATAGTTGATGAAACCAGGATGTTGAATAATTTGTCTCTAGTCACACAGCTGAGAAGTAGCCCCACTTGGAAGTGAACTCAGTTTTTTGGACTCTGAGTCTAGTATTTGTTCCCCCTTACTATAGTTACCCACCATTTGTGCCTATTTCCATCTTTTATGTTCTTTTGATTCTTTAGAGGTGAGTGATGTTTTGTTGTAATTATTTTTATAACAACTTAGTCAAGCAATCATGGGCCATATAAGGCATTATGTAGGTAGGTGGAAGGAACTTTTAAAGATCTTTTGGGGTCTGACCTTAAACTACTCATCCATACATTCCCTCACTCAACAAACATTTATTAAGCACCTACATGTGCCAGGCATTGTTCTAGGTACTGGGGTTACAGCTGTGAACAAAGAGAGCCTGTATGGAGCTAACATCCTAGTCTCAGGGCCCTCCTTTGGAAAAGTCCGTAAACTTCCCTTAGAGCACTTTATTTTTCTTTCTGTTGCATCATGAGCACTGTATCTTGAGCTGTTCTGGTGGTTCTCAGTATAAGCTGTGGTTCGTCATCACTTGGGCGGATTTCTAGGTCTGGGATAGTACTGTCATCTGTAATGGTGATGGCCTCCTCTCCCTTCCACTTCCCCCTCCCCACCCAAATTCTACTTCATAGCCAAGTACAGACTATAAATCTGCATTTGAATACCCATTATTTTGGATTTCCCCATAATCAGTTGGTGAGGTAGTCTCACCTCCCTGAGTGTACTGTCATCTTCTGGGGAAGATTTATATTTTACCTCCTCTGTATTCCAGCAGCACTTGACCCTTGGTTGGACATGTGGCGGGTACTCACATACTTATCAATCAGTTATTCTCTTTAGATAATTGCTAATTGGACCATTCATAGGGAGGCCTTGTGGTGTGGTGGGAAATGCACAAGCTTTGAAGAAAGAGAGGCAGGGGTGGAAACTCAGCCCTGCCATTGTCTACGATGCCACACTGGTCCAGTTACTGACCTCTCTGAGCCTCCCTTCCTTCCCTCGGACAAAAGAGAGAACTACTCGACTTTGCAGGGAAACTGTGAGGATTAACACAACCTAGAGGAAATAAATGCCAGACACAAGTGTGCAGAAAATGTTTGTTGCTAATATCCTTCCCTTTCCCTTAACTTTCAAAACTCCCATGCAGGTGACATTTTTAGAAGCTCAGGTTTGAACCAAATAAGGCAGCAGTAAGAAGCCTGGTTTGGGAGTCACACAACCCAATTCCTAGCCTCAGCTCTAGCACTGATTTGCTGTGTGTCATCAGGCAAGTCAGTTAACCTCTTTGGGTTAGAGGTTCATCATCTGAAAACTGAATCAAGCCAGTCTTCACCTCTCTTTTTTGTATATTGGAGGAAAATAATTTGGAAGGGACTGTTTTTAAGAATCCATTCTAAACCATCACAATAACAATGACAAACTGCATACACATGTCCAGCACAGGGTTTTACATGGTAGATTTCCAAGAATCATTTACTAAATAAATGAACAGTCTTCAATGAACTAATTCATGATTTCTAAGCTCCCTTTCAAATTTCCCCACTATCCCAGGGACTTCATTCCCTCCCTTCCATAAGGTAAGAACTACTTGGCAGGACTCCACGATGTCAATTTTAATTTCCAACTTTGTGTTGTGATGTTTCAGAGTTTGTACAGCTCCCAGGGAGAAGCAGTTGTCACCATGGCAACCCTCAGGGCACTGCAGTGAGAGAAATTAGTGCCTGCCCAGACCTAGTAATTGCTGTAGTCTTTTCCTCTTGGATTCCTAGCAGTGGCTGCTTGAATACAAATACTGAGTGGGCTCCAGCCAGCAAGGGTAATAGTGTACAGCAATAAACTATCTATTAGCTGATGCTTACATTTCAGACAAATTGAGGAGGTTGTCAAAGGCATTAGCTTCTACCTTTTCCAGAGAATCACTCTGAGAGATTTCTCTAGGGGAGAGGGAGAGAGAAAAAAAGAAACATGAAAGAAATGACCATGCATGCATCATAATAAGCTGTGTGTGTGACCCAACAACTGGGGGCTCCAGTGTGTCCTTTTAAAAAAGAACAGGGATGTCTCACGTTGTCCTCACATCATAAAGTGCCACCATCTCCCTTTAGGAGCATTGATGGGCGTCTATAACCCAGGTGCAGTTGAAATGCAGGTTTCAGTAACCCCTGTTTATGTGACAGGTTTTTTTCTTGTGACTCAGAGTCACAGATTGTTAGAAGTTCTAGTTAGATTGTTAGAAAATCTAGTCAGATCAGCTTTGGAAATTGAGAGTCTCCAGAGGAGAGTCAAAAAGTGCTTATGGGAAGGCTCAGGACCAGGATCTGGATGTCTGAATTCCCAACTCCATCACTCTAGTGAGGTTTTAATTTGGGTTGCTTTCATTGTTTCATAACTCTTTCTCCTTTTCCCAAAATCCTGCTCTGAGGCAATTGCAAGGTGGTCAACTTCTGCACGTAGTGTACTTTTTGGGTTGTTAACTGTCTATTTATTTGACCATTTTTCTCTTTTAGCAAATTGAGGACAAGGAGTATATCCTGTTCACTTCTGAATCTGTGGTGACTTCATACTGCCTGGTGCACAGAGTATGAATGAATGAATGGATTAATGAATGGAGTTTTTTTTTTAAGATTTTATGTATTTATTTATTTTAGAGAGAGAGTGAACAGGGGGGAGGGGCAGAGGGAGACACAGAGAATCCCAAGCAGACTCCAAGCCAAGCGTAGAGCCTGACGTGAGGCTCGATCTCATGACCCCGAGATCTCAACCTGAGCTGAAACCAAGAGTCGGATGCCCAACCAGCTGAGCCACCCAGGCACCCGTGAATGGATTTTTTTAAAAGACACAAACATAAAGGAACCAGCTTTGTCATATACCATCCCAGGCATGCAAGTAATGTCAGTGTTACCCTAAAATCCCAACATAACCTACCATTTGCTACCAGCTGAGAAAAAAGTCTCAAATTCACAAATTGTACATTTGAGTGTTTCTAAGGTTAACGTTCACTGCAGCCTTCAGATTTGAGAGCTTCAGCCCACAGAGAGGCTGAGCCTAAGGCAGTTAATGTCCTTTATGAACAACACAGTAATGGATTGTTCCTGGACTGATTCATTTTATTCGTACCTAATGGTTTGTTTCTTTAGCTATGGCTACTTTTCTCATGAGGAAGTGTAATGCATTAAAAGTTATCAAAACTCAACATTTAAACTTGAGAGAAGAATAAGGGTTAGATTCAAGGAGACTGACATTTCTGTAATTCTTGGGGATTATTTTTAATATCCTCATTGCTTGCTAATCCCCTAAAGAACAGTCAGAGGCTCCCCAAGGAGCTAGGATTGATGATGCAGCATCTTTAGAGATGTAAATTGGCTTCAAGAGCCCCATGGATTGTTAAGATCAGAGATGCCCTCTAGGAACTAAATGACTTTGAGGTCCTTTCACACAGACTAACATTAAGGAGGATGCTGGAATACTGGGCTCCTGACAAAGTTCTCTCTCATGTATGGTGTCTTATGCCCTGGAGGCTGAGACCCAGGGAGAACGGATTGAAGTTATATCTGACACAAATGTGAGATCACGCTGTATTATTGGGTTGCTTTGCACTTTTGATAAAGTCCTTTTATCAATACAGCTATAAATACTGTGTTTGTGTCATACACTTACTATATTTTAGATATGAAGATTATCTTCTGATGCACAATAAACCTCCAACACATTTTCTTCTGTGTGGGTGTTATCTAAAAATGTGACACAAGGGAATAACTGCTCTAGCAGAAGGAGAATTTTTGTGATTGGAATCTATTTTCTTTTCTACTTGAGAAGTTTATCATCACTTATCAAAATGCATTCAGTTCATTGAAGCAAGGTTAATTATCCAGAATTTAATGACTCTTGAAAATCATACTTTTCTTCAAAGGTCCCTAGATATTATTTGTATTATAAAGATAAAAATACTGGGGTTTCTTTAACACAGTTTCTCTCCTAGAAACAATACCCCTTTTCAACTATGTTTTCCCTTAAAAAAATTTTATTATTCCAATTATGAATGCCTTGGTATGCAGTATCTTACTTACATTTTTATGACCTCATTAAGTCCTCTGAAAGCTTGAGATGGGATTAGTTTGATAGGGAGATAGGTGAGTGACCTAGAAAAGAAGAGAGGAAAGCCAAGAGTTTAATATTTAAGACTGGGTACCTTTTAAGTTCATGAATAAAATGTGTGTGTGCGCGTGCAAATGTGTGTGAATACAGAATTCCAACGACTGAATTCAGGTGGAGAATTCTAACTTACATCAATAACGAGATGTGCCATGACTCACACTTGGTGTTTATCAAAGAGTGTGTTATTTTGTAAGTAAGATCCCAAACTTTGGGCTCAGACACACCTGGGTTCAAATCCCCACTCTCTTCACTACCTGGTCAGGTGATCCTGAGGATGGTATGTAGGCCCTCTATTCCTTCATCTATAAAATCTATAAATCTTCATCTATAAAATTGGAATAATAATAACTGCTTCACAGGGTTGTTATGATGACTAATCAAGATAAGCCATGTAAAGAACAGGGCTTGGCACCAAGTAAATAGTTGATAAATAGTTCTAGAGTGGCCGCATAGGCCTGGTTGGGAAGAGGGAAAAGAAACTGTCTTGGGTAAAGTGAGGAAGTGACTGGTGAAAATACAATTGGAAACGAGGCAGGAGAAGGGAAGATTCACTAGGAACATGTTCCTCTTTTGAGCTATACCATCTTCCCCAGACAGTTGATTTCAGTATCCTCCCAACCAGACCAGATGGCTGCTATGATAGCTCAATTACATGGGCATCTCATGCCATTTTGGGGGAATATCTATAGAACATTTCCTTCAGGCACTCACCTATATTCAGAGGAACAATCTAAGTGTTCTTGAATTGAGATAAAGGTTATCCATTACATAAAAGTTGAGAGAAGAGCAATTAATTCAGCAATAGCAAAAGCAGAACAGGATGATGAACACCTGCTAAAGGAAAATAGACTTAAGATAACTCAGAAGAAAACATCTGCAAAGCAGGGATGAATGTCCAACCAACATTTATCAAGCATCTTCAGTGGTTCAGGGTTTTGGACCACATACTGGCAGAGAGGAGGGGAGTGGATGAGGATGTTTCAGGTGGGAAGTGAGTATCAGAAATTTGAGAGTAGAGGTGGGAGATGCTGCCTTGCTTTTCATGTGTCTACAAAGCAGACTGTCTTGTTTGCCAGGAAAGAACACCTTTGGCATCAGGAGTGTATTTGAATCAGGGAGATGTCTTACAGTCTCAGAACCTTACTGGAGTAAGGTGCTATGTAAGTTGTGCACTCCCGCCTGTAACCTTATTTTATCCACGCAACGATGGTGTGAGGTGGGTATTTCCCTTTGATAGCAAAAGAACTAGATCACAAAGAGATTCGGTAGCCTGAGCAAAGTAACATGACCAAGCAGACTGAGCCCAAATAGTCTTTCTATGGTGTGATATTGGGCCAAAGTATGTGATTCCTAACCCAGTCTCTTTCTCCCCCCACCCCAAACTTTATTGAGGAATAATGACAAATATAATTGTGTATACTTATTTTTTTAAGATATTTACTTATTTATTTGTCAGAGAGAGAGAGAGAGAGCGTGCGCACACTCACAAGCAGGGGGAACTGCAGGGAGAGGGAGAAGCAGGCTTCCTGCTGAGCAGAGAGCCAGATGTGGGACTCGATCCCAGGACCCCGGGATCATGACCTGAGCCAAAGGCAGACGCTTAACCAACTGAGCCACCCAGGCGTCCCATAATTGTATATACTTAAAGTGTATAATGTGGTGATTTGATATACACATACGTTGTGGAATCATTACAAAGATTAAGAAAATAAACACCTGTCACCTTACATAGTTAACTCTTTTTTGGGGGAGGGTGAGAACATTTAAAATCTACTCTCATTAGATCATTGGAAGATAGTCTTATAACTCAAAGTTTGTGCCCTTTGATCTATAGCTCCTCATATCCCCCTCCCCGCAGCCCCTGGCACCCATGATTCTCTTCCCTGTTTGTAGGAAATTGGCTCTTTTTCTTTTTTTAGATTCCACGTATAAGTGATACCATATAGTATTTGTCTTTTTCCGTCTGGCTTATTTCACTTGGCATAATGCCCTCCAGATGCATCTATGCTATCACAAATGGCAGGATTTCCTTCTCTTTTTATGGCTGAAAAATATTCCTGTATGTGTGTGTGTGTGTGTGTGTATTTACCACATTTTTAAAATTCATTCATCAGTTGAAGGACCCTTCTGTTGTTTCTATATCTTGGCTTTTTTGAATACTAGTGGAGTGAACATGGGTTGCAGATAGCTCTTAGTGATAGTGATTTCATTTCCTTCTGGTCTATACAGGTAACCCACTCTCTGTCAGTGAGCAAGGTGGAGAGACAGGCATTGTAATCTTGTTTCTCTTGAGAAGAGAAATGCTGCACTCTTGCAATTTCTCCTGCAGAGCTGCTTACCAACAGTTCTTCTTTAGGGGCTAATGCAAAGAAATTTCATTTCAGAGAAATGCTTTTACTCAATAGTCTCTTAGAGATGGTACAACCTAGAGGAAGTAATCCAAACTTGGTCCTCTGATTTTATTCCTGAAGACAGTCCCACCAAGCACATTGTTTAATACCCAAACTTATTTAACAGGGCATCAGAAGAACAGGGACAGTGCGGGGAGAAATCTTCTTACGATGGCACATTTGCTTCTTATATTTCTTCTGGAATCATGTCTGCTTGGCTTACTGATTAAAAACACAGTTTTATTGCTCTCTGCACTGCCAAGTCAATAAATTTCCAGAAGAGAAAGCTGTATTCTACTGTACCCCATGCAACATCAATAAAACTGACAGCCAAATTCTGATTCCAGAATCTTTATTGCTGGGGATAATGCAGTACAGAACATATTTTGGAGAGTGTTTACATAAAAGCTTAAAACGAACCCTTCAGAGCTGTTTATTCATGCAAATGGAACCCAGAAGCTGGAGCCTCTCAGCAAGCAGCCTCCTCCTCCAAAAGCGAGCACAGTGTGGCTCCCAGGAGAGCAGTTTGGCTCAGGTTTGACCAGGGAGGTTGCCTGAGCTTTTGATTGATGTAGGGATGAGGGATGAGGAGCAAAGGTTGGACAAAAGTGAGAGAAGCTGTAGATCATGCCCTGGCTGTCCCCAGTGACTACAGAACAGCCCTAGTGCAAGATGAAATTTTGCAGCTGATGTTGATGCTGCAGATCAGGAAAGGCAGGAGTAATGAGAATAAAAATAAAGTTCTTACCATAAAGGAGCCACTGAGCAAATAGCAGGTAGCTTTGTGGATGTGGCTGGGGCAAGGACGAGGCCTGGGGGCCAGAGAATGGGGAGACAGGTGGGTGAGGCAGGTGTACCAAGCTTTTGCCACTAGATGTATTCTCATGAAGTGAGGCGCAGAATGTGGTTCTATGAATCCAAAGCTGTTTTTCCCATTGACTTATATTTTTATTTTAGAAATGTCATGTCTTCTTTCCTGATTCATCTTCAATTGGCAGCAGTTTCTAAGCAGATTTGCCAATAACCATTTGAACGTACTCCCTTTGAAGGTGCTCCCTTCTCTGATGGGTGCTTTTATGAGGCCAGAAATTTTTAGCAACGTGAACAACTGTCTCCAAATCCACCCTGTGATTCTACTTCTGTATACATCCCAGAGAAATTCTGACACTGATACTTAAGGGAACCTGTGTAAGGATTTTCTTCAAGGCATTGTGGCAGCGGAGGGGTTGGTTGCAAACTGAGTGTCCATTACTGAGTGGGAGAATAGTAGTGTGGACAGTACATACCTAACTAATAGGTCAGCAGCTAGAAGCAAGAGTCTAAAGGCACACAGAGCAAGCAGCCTCTGTGGATCTTAGAGTCATGGTAGCGAGAGGAACAAGTAAGAAATTGATGATATAAAATCCTACTTGCAGAATTAAAATACATGCACACAAAACATTAGATATTTTAATGAAAACACCTAAGCACATATTAGGATGGTTGCCTATGGCAAGTTGAAAGGAAGTGAGAGAAGGGGATAAAATGAATAACTAAAAGCAGAGCGACTTTGAATGGACCAGCGATGATGTTGCTTGCCTGAGGAAGTGTGATTGACCTAGCCCTCTGAATCTGAGAGACAAAAAAGAAAAAGAAAGTTTTGTTTTGATGTATTGAGTCCTCCCCTGCTTTCCTTCCCTCCCTCCTTCCTTCTTTTCTGGTTTTGAAATTAGGCCTATGTGTATTCCAAGAATTGTGTGAACTTGAGGAACTCCTGTGGAAAAGCCTAGCAATATCATTTGCTACAAAGCAGCAGCCGAGGAGAACTGGGGACAAAAGATCAAGGGCAAGGACAGTTCAGTGGCTCCGCTGTCCAGGGTCAAAAAAGGAATGAAAGCTATGCATAAAGCAAAGACAAATAAAAGAGGGACAGAGCCTTTTCTGTCTCAGACAAGAGTGTGACAGTCCCAAACCATGCAGCTCAGACGGTGGTAAAGAGCCAGGCTACTGGGCAAACGTGAAGTTGAGCTTGCAGGGTGGAAAGTTCTCTCTGCCTCCTAAATAGCGAGATGGTTAAGGAAGTCCATGGCGGGGGATGCTCCAACTACTTATTTTTATTACATTTCACAGCTCTTTTCTTTTTCTTTCCCCTCCCTCCCCCTCCCCCCTTTCTCTCTCCTCCTTCCTTCCTGCCTCCCTCCCTCCCTCCCTCCTTCTTCTTTTCTTTTCTTTTCCTTTTCCCTCCCTCCGCCCTATCTCTCTCTTCCTTCCTTCCCTTTCCCCCCTCCCTCCCTCCTTCTCCTTTTCTTTTCTCTTTGAAAAGAAGAGACCTTTTCCCATATGACACTTTGTTTTTAAATGAATGGATGATACAACACGGGTGACACCTGGATTATGGCCAAATCCCACTTTGCCCAAGTGCCTGTGCCACAGATGTTGAAACAAAAACAGGATGACAGAGTCTGCCTTATTTTCATCAAGTATGAAAGCTCCATTTATTCATGAATCCTGTCTGCAAGTCCCCAGCCTTTCCAGTTATGGGCTAAAGTTGTTGTAGAAGCATCCTTTACCCCTTTAGGATTGGAACTAAGCACTCACCCTAGTTCTGGGATCCT